CTCATTTTACCCGTCACCCACACGCGCACGCACGCACGGATCCGATACCGATACCGATACTGTAAATATCACCGTACCATAGCCCGCCCGCCGCTCTACTTCTTGCATCGCGCCCGTACTTGTAATCCGTTCCGCGCGACGACCGACGGTGTATGTCCAGTCAAGACGAATACCGAATATCGTGCAGCTGAGCACCGATCATGTACATCGTTGTGCTAGGTTCATCTACTGCAGGCGACGCCGATATCGGGCATTTTCCCTCCCTCGGTGTCCTCTTCACCTCTACACTCGTGATGATTCTAGGCTACCGGGCTTATAGGCTGACACGCACGCACGCACGCACCGACCCGCCCTTCGCTACCTCCCCTCCTACCGGCACCGACACTGTAAATATCACCGTACCACAGCCCGCCCGCCGCTCTACTTCTTGCATCGCGCTCGTACTTGTAATTCCTTCCTGCGCGACGACCGACGGTGTATGATCATTCATCGAATCGCGATCAAAACGCGTGCGGCACGGTGTTGGCGAGGCATGATATTGAACGTTGAACGTTGAACGTTGAATACCGTGCAGCTGAGCATGGAGCATGCACATCGTTTGTGGTAGGTTAACACTTTATCTACTACAGACGATCCCGACATCCGACATTTTTCCTTCCTCGGTCTCGGTGTCCTCTTCACCTCTAAACTCATGATAACTCTAGGCTTACTAGGCTCACACGCACGCATGCACCGACCGTCCCTCGCTACCTCCCCTCCTTCTCTAGCCGGATCCGCGCTTGCTCCAACGCGCGGTACACGTCCGCCGCGAAGCTCGAGCCTGGCGGGAGCGCGAATAAGCGTTCTAGTGCGGGCACCGCCGCGCGCGTGAGTAGGAGGTGCGGGCGCGCCGCCGCCGCCGCTCCTCCTCCGTCATTCTTGTCCTCCCAGTGGTTCGAGGTCGACGCAAAGGTGGCGTCTGGCGGTGCGGATGTATCCACTTGCGATTTGGGCTCGGGGGACTGGGACGGCGGAGAGAGGCAAGCCTGGGGGACGGGCGGGGCAGGCGCGTGCTGTGCGTAGATGGTGTCGAGCTCGGGGCTTGCTTGTGGGAGGATGGCGCCCTGGGCTACGAACGCCTCGAGGTATTGCGAGGCTTTGAAGGCTGTGGCAAGGGAGGGGTGGTTAGGGCCAGGGTTAGGTGCGCGGTAATCGGTCGGAGTGGATATTTTTAGAGGGGAGGGGGGACTCACCGCGATAGTGCGACCATGCGCGCCAGGCGCAGTAGAAGAAAGGAAAGTTGGGTATGAGCGCTGTTTTCGCGCGTTAGCAAGGGGTGGGCAGAGTGGCAGGAGGAGGGGAGAAGAGGGGGGGGACTCACGGACGAGCATGAAGGGTATGGTGAAGGGGGCAGCGGCGATCCAGATGAGGCAGCCGTTGCGGTGCCGTGGGGTGCGCTTCTCGAGGAGGGCGCGGAGGTGGGGGAGGGGGGAGGCGCATGAGGTTGGTGGGTAGATGAGTGGGATCTGAGGCGCGCGGCGCGCGTTGTGCGTCATGCATTCACGGTCCGGGCGTCAGAAGGTAGGCGCATATAAAGAGGAGGGCATTGGGAGGAGGAGGAGGGGGAGGATCATGCGGGGCGCTGCGTCAACGGATTGGCAGGACGCTGGGGGGAGGGGAGGGCGCACTGACCGTGGGGTGGTCGCGCGGCCTGAGCTTGTCCGTGTGTCGGAGGCGGAGGAGCTGCGGCCCGAGGGATGTGTCGAAGGACTTGAGCGCGAGCTCTTCAAAGTCGAGTCGGTCGATGAGGCGCTCGCCGTACACGAAGACTTTGCGCTGCAGGCGGTCACGCACCAAATAATGGGATCAGGATTTCATGGAAACACCAGGAAGATGGACAAGTTATACATCAGGCGTGGTTGATAGTGTGTGGATGGATGGATGAACTGCGCGACGCGTACCTTCCAGTTACCCTCCGGCGCCCTCCCGAGGCCCGCCCACAGATCCGACGCTTTCACAATGACCCGCTTTGACCATGAATTGGATTTGCTCTTCGACGGTGGGGGCGTGACGAAGTGGTAGTACGTGAGGTGCTCAGGTGGCCGGTGCGCGAGGGACGGCGTCGCGAGCGGGAGGGCGATGATGCGCATCGAGCGCTTCGCGCTGCACATGAGCGACATCCCGATGGTGTCCCCTGGGAAAACAAATGCTAGAGACTGGATATCGGTGAAGATGAGCAGTCGGAATGGGCGGAGGAGGGCGGGACAAATACAGCAGATTTGATTTGAGGCAGGATGGGTCGGAGTCCAGGCGCTAATACGCGCGGCGGAACGGCGCGTCACAGCTTGCTTGCGTCACGCGTCATGCAACGCAACGCGTGCAGGCCACGTGCCTCGTTCTACCTTCAGCCACAGCGCCGATCGTGTGCCTCGTGTCTGCACCGCTCCGTGTCCTACCTACAGTCGAAGAGCGCACCGCCTACCCACCGAACCCTTCACTGATTGTCGATGATGTCCTCCTCAGTGGACAACGGCTCCGCGAGCTCGACCGACTCCGAGACGGAGGACACCTCCAGGACCCACCAACGCGCGACGTCGTCCCTGGAGGAGTCGCTGGGCTTCAGCATGTTCACGTCCGCTTTCTCCGTCTCTGGAAAGCGGCGCGGGATGTTCGGGTCTGCGAGTAACTCGCGCGACATGAAGAGCAGGAGGAGAGATGAATCCTCGCGCAACCCTGGGGGCGGGGGCGGAGGTGGGGGAGGGTTCTCGTCTGGGAGGATGTGGGAGAGCGGCGAGGGCCCGTCGCTGAGGCCGAAGGATGAGCTGATGGATATGAAGGTTGTTGAGGATTTGCGTGCGCGTGAGTATTTCGTATGCGGTTGAAGTGGTGCGGGATGATGTAGATTGATGGGCGTTCTTGACTGTGCAGAATTCGGAGATCCGTTCGATGATAGCTTCATCGAGAATGCTCAAGAATTTGGGAAGTCGTAGGTGAGTGATCAGCCTAGAGCCTTTATACACGACGATTTTAAGGTATTTACGTAGTGTTGTCCTTGTATATTTTTGATCCTCTCCATCATGGTCATCATCTCCGTCACTGTTCGTGTCAGAATGTGTGTAATTGATATTATCCCTTGATTTTATCTATGGAAAGCTATGCCAGATATCAGACGCGAGAGTCAGCGGGATCTTCATGCTGATCAACGAAGGTTGGCTGCTGTGGTGCCATGGTGGCCCGTTTGCTGTGGGACGCTGACCTAGCCACATTTGTGTAATCGATGAGTAACGGGCATAGGTAGGTCGGTTCAACAACTGTCTAACTGTGATTAGACAGGGACAGAGCCGTCTGCGATAGTCTCCCTCCAGCGTATATTTAACTGTCACGACGGTACTGGATGTGTGCTCCTAATGATCGAAGATGCTTCATAAATACTCCAAAGGTCAGCGATTCCTACAGCCTGGACATCGGTAAACCGATCGTGCTGTTTGAAGTGACAGGACGACCGTGAAAATAGATGATGGTCTTTACTAGCACCCAGCGCCACGACCATAGTCAGTCTGCTCCGTCTCTATTTTCGTTCCCATGCTGACCTTTTGATGGTGGTGATCATTCCCGGTTCTGCCTCGCTCAGAGTCCTTGGACAACGATGATCACTCCACAACACTTAGAGACCTCATGTCTCGGCAAAGCGGGCACCCGAATGGAATCTTCACAGGCACGTCTTGCTAACATCCCGCTCTCCAGAGTGTCTCGTCTCCTCGATCCCAACATCCCAGTCTCCCTTCGACCATGAGACCCTCTTTCACGCCGCAGACGTTGTTTCCGAATGCCTCGGAGGAAACCCGGAGAGCGACATATGACCTGAGGTTCAGCGAGGAATACCGAGGTTCTTCCGCACGACGTAAGATGAATGGCGCTTAAAAGGTGGGCTTGAAAACCAAGCAGGTCCTTTCTGATTGTGCCTGCGTAGGCGTTGAGACCAGATCGTAAAAGCAAGATGGCCAAACAGTACAAGTACCTCACGCGTACGTCTTTTGTTGGCGTTATCTCCTGCTATGCAGCATGTGCTAAATGCAGTGTCAATTTGCAGCCGATGAGATCGAGTTCTTCATGGAGAACGGCTACATCATCATCAAGCAGGCGTTCACGAAGGAGAAGGCTGCTGAATGGACAAAGGACATGTGGGTACGACTCGGACTCGACCCTAACGACAAGTCGACCTGGGACCGCGAGCGCATCCACATGCCATGGCACAAGCGCGAATCGGTGTCCACCTTCGCGCCAAAGGTGCGTTCCCCCATCTCCAAGTCGCGATCCTGGCTGACTCTAAAATATCGCACAAGGCTTGGGACGCAATGTGCGACCTGCTGGGCGGCGAGGAGCGCATCGACGGCAGGAGCAGCTCCTGGGGCGACAGCTTCATCGTCAACCTCGGCACGCCCGAGCTCGAGGGCCCAGACAAGTACGTCGCGCCGCAGGACCTCGACAACTGGCACGTAGACGGCGACTTCTTCGTGCACTTCCTCGACTCGCCCGAGCAGGCGATGCTCGTCATCCCGCTCTTCTCCGACATCAAGCCCCGCGGCGGCGGCACGTACATCTCGCCCGACGGCATCGATCTCATCGCGCCCTACCTCGCCGCACACCCCGAGGGGGTGCTCCCCACCGGGCTCTCCTTCACGCCCTCCACGAGCACCGCGCCCGAGCCGAAAGACGATCCCGGCTACTGGTCGCACCTGAAGGAAATCAGGCGCTGCAAACGCTTCGTCGAGGTCACGGGCGAGATCGGCGACGTCGTGCTGATGCATCCATTGATGCTGCACTCGGCGTCGAAGAACCACCTGCGCGAGGTGCGGGTGATCACGAACCCTCCCGTGGGGCTGCGCGAGCCGTTCAATTTTGCGCGCGACGACCCGGAGGAGTACAGCCTGGTCGAGCGCAAGACACTCAAGGCGCTCGGCGTGGAAAGGTTCGAGTCTAAGCCGACGACGGAGCGGAGGCGCGTCGTGCCGCGGAGGGTGGCGCTGCAGCAGAAGATGCTGGAGGACGAGAAGAAACGGCTGGAGGAGCTGGAGAAGGCGAAGGGTAATGTGGGCGTCTCTGGTATCGCGCAGCCCGTTGCTGTGGCTTAGATCGTTCAATGTACTGCTACAAGCATGCTTTTTATTCCACGCTTGTGCGCGCAACTATCCCCCACGACAGTTTGAGAGTTTGGGGGCTTGGGGTATTCCGGAGGGGTTGGGGGATTTCTGCTCTATCCACTGACGAACTCCAGACTCAGCGATTCCCCTCATAAACTACGGGGGCCTGAGAGTTGAAATTTGAAACACCGTTGACAAGCGTGCAGAGAGAATCAATATGCCAAAAGTAAGAACCCAGCAGAGGTCAAAGTGATTATAATATCGAGTACGGCGCGACCGATTGATGTAGCTCAACAGGTGTCGTTCAACCCCTCGCGAGTGAATGGTTAGTGCCGCTTACTCTAGACTTATACACATACGTGGTGTAGCAGAAGTAGCGTTCCAGCAGTGTCTCGCAAGTGGCGGCAGACCATAATTCATTCCGACAATCAAACGTTTTACCGTCGGAAGAGACACAAGAACCGACCACCAGTCAGCACGTCTTACTCCGATACATTGCTGCAAAGTATTATCAATAGCACAATGATTCTAGACACAGGCAGAGAATATATCGACTGAAAGACTTAAACCGAGATATGTCTTGCGATCTGAAGGCAAAAAACTAATATCTTCCACAGACGCACGTATCTTTAGCTCATCTCCTGCCTTGGACATTGCTATCCAGTCTCCGTCGTCAGCCACGTCCCAGATGATCACGTGCAATGGCGCTAGATCGTAGCGTCGTAGACTTAGTTCGATCGTCTTCCTCCACCCTGACTCGGGTTCATCGCTCTCGCAGACAACCTCGAGGTAAGGGTAGACGACGCGCACAGATCTCTTCGACGCAGGAGGCCGATCATTAATGCGTGACGTAATTGCAAAGACCACTTTGCGTAAAGGCCTTTCGGGCATCCCCGAAATCTTTGCTTTTATGCCTGGATTACCCCCAGAAAAGTCTGGACTGGACGTCAACGAGGAGCGTTGTCTGACCCAATATCCGGCGAAATTCAAGATACGTCGTACCAAAGGCAACGGTAGTGGGTGTGAGATCGAGTGCTGTAGCGTCCAGGCCGTCTTCAGTACGTCCATACAGGTTGTAGGAACGTATTCCGCCGGAATAGCGCCATTTTCCACCAGGAAATTGGTGATCTTCTGGTGAATGGGAACGTCCTCAATCTGGATCGGCGTATGTCCACGATGATTGCGTGCGTTGACATCACATCCCGCCTCGACGAGGTATCGAACCACGTCAAGCGAACCTGACAATGCAGCGCAGTGCAGCGCCGTACTTCCATCAACAGCACGAACATCGACGCCTTCTCCTTTGGATAACATGACTCGTATCATATTCTCTTGGCCGTTGTACGCGGCCCACAGAATTGCATGGTCACCCATCAAGCCGTCCTTTAGCTGCAGGCACGCTCCATGCGAGAGCAAGAACTTGAATGCTTTGTAATCAGCCTGCCCGATGGCAACCCACATCGCAGAGCAGCGCGAGCCGTTGAAGAACCAATCCGTGCGTTCAAATTTTTTGATGATCGCTATTATCACGGACATGTCGATATCAGCGCCGCGTTCATATTCCACTGCCACGGACATGTCGATATCAGCGCCGCAATGCAGCAACAGATCCGCCAAGGCCAGATTATTGAAGTAAATCGCATTAAAGAGCGGTGTGGAAGGGAAAACAACACCGCAAAGCGATAAACTTGACGGTGACGGCAGTCTGACTAAAGAACGAAGAAGTCGGTGGATAAACGATCGGGATCCAATTCTATGCCAAGACCGCAACCACTGCAAGAGTGTAGGTGCGCAAGTGTTCAGGACGTTCTCCAGATCATGGAGATCATCCGTCGTATCACTCGGTAAAAGGCGGTGCAAGAAGGAACCCATGTTGAACGCGATATAATTGCAAAAGGAGTGTTCATCGCAGTTCAGCAGCGTATTTGGTGACTGCAACACAATAATAGATATATAACTGAGTGCAAGTTTTGTAACGTGCAAGAGAGGGTCGTCGAGGGGAATGTGGAAGATCTTCAATGACGTTTCTTGTCTGTGTTCAAGCAGGAACTCCTGTGCCGGCAGTCAGCACGAGACCTTGGCAATATACAAGATAGTATACGAACCCGTACGGAGAAGTGAGCCAGAGATACCTCTCGCGTTTTTTCATTGTAGTCGATGAGACTTTTGCAGATCCTGCGTACCTCCTCGGGCCGACATAATCCATCCTCTTCATTGATTGTGCGTGTGCTTAGCGAGATCTTCATTGCATCACAGATTTCGTCTATATGCACCGGTCCTGTCGCAGCAACAAGGAGGCTAAGAATTCGCTCGGCGAGCTCAACAACGTGTTTTCCCCGATCATCGATACCGGAGACGATACGCATGTACGTCTCTTTCAGGCCATGCGGCAAGTTCTGGAGAACGTGTTTCATCCCCGCCACGTTCGCTTGCTCTGCAAGACTGTCCAGCTGACACCGGACCCAGAAGAACCTATAAAGTAAGATGCTTCAGCTTGATGACTGCATGCGAAGACAAGATCAGCCGCACATTCCATCCGCACCCGATGTTAACTTCTGTATTACTTCTTGCTTGAACTCGGGTGGAAGGTCGCGCAGTTTTTGATCACCCGAGTTCATCTCCTGGTCAATATATCGTCCAATATCGTTGTTGATGGCCTTTCTTTCATCGGAGAGATCAATAGCGGGATGCATACGAAGTTCGAGTTTGATGTGGTCCTCCGGCCGACTTGTAACCAAAACCCGAACTAGGGATGAAGTACGAACCAGTTTCGGTAGACACCGCAAAAGTTCTAGCACTTGCTCCCGCTCGGAGAGTTCATCCAGCCCATCCACGATCATGAAGACCGGGCACGATTTCAGATCCACAGCTTTCTTAAGAAGATTGCACAAGTCCGCGATTTCCTGAGGGGGTGGTTGCGAGTTATCCATTCGCTCGATAAGGTCAGCGAAGTCGCTTTCGGGGAGCTGGATACCGTGAAGAGCACCGATGATCTGAGACAAGAGCGTCCGCATGACTGTGGCAGGTTCAGTACTTTTTGGGTCATCGAAGCGGCAAAAATGATATGCAATGATTGCGCGCTTCGTGTCACGTTTGTCGTGAAGGCTCTTGATTACCGACGATCTAAACAGAGACACGGGATTACAAGGTATCATCTATGCTGCAGCTCTAGTACGACTCACGCTAATATTGTTTTGCCGCTTCCGGCTGAGAACATGAGTGACCAGATTTCAGCATCAAGGCCCAACCACGGTCAGCGTCTGTCACTTGCCTTTGCCAAACAAAGATAGAAACGCAGACGCCGATTGTTCCCAGTGTTTGTAAGCAGCATTGTCGAAGAGCCAGGAGTTGGTGCCTTGCTGTCGCACTTTGATGAAACGTTCATAGGATACTTGATAAGGGGCAGGAGAAAGCCATGCGATGATTTCCTTTCGTTTGCCTTCTGCTTCGTCCCTGTCCCGTGAGGATTTCACGGCAATGCAATGGAGGAAACGGACAGACCTATGACAGCTGTAAGCTGCGTATCCCTGGTTCGATAACAACAGTCTCAGCGCAGCTGTATGCCGTTGAAAGAAGCATTCTACCTTATATCAACGATTACGTTCCGATTTAGTAGATCCAGAAACTGGTCCAATTTGCTCGCGTACTCTTGCACCGTTTTCTCAGTCCGAACTGCCTTGACATTATGTATAGTGCGCTTGGGAATTTGCATGATGCGCTTCAGCATGGGCTTCTTCTTCTGCTCGGGGCCGGATAATTGGGGAAGGAGATCCTCCATGCTGTGAATATGATCCTCGAGTGGCTGGCGTAACCACGATCCTAACAGCTGCTCCAGCACCCTCTCGTCCTCAGGAGCTGCTCGACTCTTCGTGCTTTTGTCGTACAGATTCAGAAGTTTATCCAGATGGCTCTCCATCGACTGCAGCTTGCGCAGTAGAGCCTCACCGGTTTCCCTTGCATTTCGGATTTGATGCATGTATCCGATGGCCTTGCGAATCAGATCGGAAAGAGTAGCAGCAGCCTTGTAGGCGGTGATAGCAGTCGCCACAGTCGCCATAGGTGTGGTGCTGCGTTTGGTCGATCATTGTTCGGGCCTTTATACCTCCTCACCGCAGACATGAGGTCGGGTCGTGCCATCCAAAAGATGGCTCATGACACACGGCTACGCGAATGGATCAAAGAACTCACTTAAGTTCAGACTCCGCTGCAGGTTCTAGTTTGCGACTAGCCGCTCAATGTCCGTACTCTGTTGGGGATTTCATCGTTAAAATGTTTAGATTCTGGACGATACTCATGAATTCTTTCAAGTGAACATGATGTAAAGTCGATGAACACGAGAGGTTTTCAATTGCAGTCTTATAATGCAATCGTCAGCCGCAATGTGGGAACATCTGAATCTTCATTTGATTGTCCAATTCGGCATCATGGGCTCATGGGCGTCCTACGTAACCGTCGGAAAGCGGTTCAAGCAACAGCGCGGGTGCTCAAGCCTGACTCTATAAAAAGAACTGGAAAACGACATACCGAAATCCGTCGCACTGAACGCATCTCATCTATGACTGAACGGTATACGGAAGACTGGATTCACGGTGAGGAGTGACGATGGATTCCCTTTCATGTTTTCGCACGTCGCCGAGAAGGCAGAAGAAGCCGCTCCCATGATGCCAATAGTCAAGAAAAACGAAGCGCGATGGATCCTCTTGCGATAGCTATAGAGCGGATTTATAAAGGCCGGTGGTTGAGCCCGAGATAACGAGACGAAGGTGAAGTGATAAGCGATTTCTGCGCATCAAGAAAACTCAAATATTGCTTTTTAGCCCCCTTTAGAGCTTTTTTTGGTCCAAAAAAGGTATTAAGCCCGAAAAGTGTGGGGATCTCCTGGTTCTGCGCTTATGTTATCCTTTTCTTGGAAAAGTCACACAGAAAGCGCCGGAAAGGTCACGAGATATTCTGTATAAAGACATTAAGCCGGAAAGCCGAGCTTCGGCTGCTTCTGATGCAGCTGCCTTTTCGAGTAAAAAGCTCTCATAAGGTGGGAAAAAGGTGCAATTTCAGGAGATCCTCATGCTTTTTTCTCTCCTTAATCCTCGAAAAAGGTGACAAAGTGAGGAAAAAGGTAAAGTTGGAGTTTTCCTGATGTGGTGTAAGCGCTCACAGACATCTTTGGAAGGTGACTCGTAACCATAATGCTCAGGAAGTTACGGCTGCTTTATAGCCCACCCTCAATCATCAGTAACAACAACTCTATTTTTACGCCATCAAGTAGCAACAGCAAGGACAACACTAGATGGTCACATTGACCGATTATACCGAAGGTAGCAACTGGGTATGGAACATAAATTACATGCTATCTACGCGCACCTCTATGCCATGATTGCGGAAATCAGAACGGGACGTGATTGCAGCGGAGCAGACAGATGACGGGCAGATCCGGCGATGGATGTATGGACGATGAAAGTTCGAGCCTGTAGGAAAAGGAATGGAGGAAAGGAGAGAACGGAAGACGTCTATGCGGCAGCACGCTTTGATTTTGCGCGGATCTGCTTGCCGAATCGGTAGAACAGGAACGGAACAGGAATCTTGACGGCGTGTTAGCTGGTGGTGTGGAGAGGAGAAGCTGTCGAAGACAGACGTACCATAGCGATGGAGATGAATGCCCATGTAGATGCAGCCCAGCCGTTGCCCAGATTGTGGTACATAGCCTCGATGAACAGAGGCATCGCGGCACCGGAGCCGGAACGCACAACGGTCTTCGCGGCCAGTGCAGACGCGACATAACCGGGGAACGCATCAATGAGATACGCATTGGCGGAGAAGTACAAAATAACCACTGTAAACGCCGCGGTGAGACACTTTTGTACGTCAAACGCGAGACATCGTACACTTACTGCCAAAGCCGAACGGGATACCCGAAGAGCACGGTCCGACCCAGTGGCCACCTCCGGGCTGGACGGCCGGGGGAGACGTCCAGCCGAAGATGAACAGGGAAATGGGAATGAACCAGCAGCCGATCATCATGCCGACGAGACGATCCTCAGGGTCGGCTCTGCCTCCCTTCGCTGCTGCGCGCTTCTGATAGTTGGCCTCAATGCGCGGGGTGACGAACAGCGCGAGAAAGAGGCCGATCAGGACGGAACAGAAGACGAGGCCCGAGTGTCCATCATCGAAACCGTACCCTTCTGAGAAGACGACAGGGAAAGCGAAGAAGAAGGAGTACTGAGGTATGAGGTGTCAGAATGTGTTGGTGAACAGGTCCGAAGACGATACTCACAAGAAGACCATAGATCAGGGCAACATACAATGACATGAGCAGAAGAATGGGCTCGGTCATGAGCATCTCTGTGGTGATGTGAATATGTAGAAGTTGCCGCGAGAGCACGTGCAAGACTACTCACGGAAGGGACGGACCAAAGTCTCGATGATAATCTGGGACAGGGAAGCTGAAAACAATTCCTGCTCGGTGGTGATGTTCGGATTCCCGGTCTCTTTACGTAGGCGTGCCGCACGCCTTTTGAGCAGAGCAGGGGCAAATGTCTCCGGGATAGTGCACGTCAAGGCGGCCGAGACACCCGAAAATATCATGTTGATCCAGATAATCCAGCGCCAGCCGATGTTCTCGCCAATGAAGCCACCGATGATAGGGCCCATAACGGGACCACCGTAGGGAGCTGCGGCGAACAGAGCGATGGCGAATCCACGCTCGTTGTTGTCCCAGAGATCAGAGATTGTCCCACCCGCAAGCGCGAAAGGACCCGATGCGAAAATACCGCAGAAGAACCGACAGATACAAAGTGTCTCGATATTCTTTGCGACGGCACATGGAATGTTGAATACTATGTAACGATCAGGATCTGCGGCCTTTGGCTGCATCGAGAATACTTACTAACATACAGGAAGGCCGGGATGAGCCAAATAGGCCTCCTCCCCACCAACTCGCTCTGAAGATCACGTTATCGTCGGGAAAATGGCGAATAGGAGCCAAAAACGTGCTCACCAGTGGCGCCCATATTAGCGGTCCAATACCGAAACCGACGACCATCAGCGATACCGTCAACGCAACAACGACCTCTCCGACATGGAACTCGTCTTGTATGTCTTTGAAATCACCGGTGATGACAGCGCTGCCGAAGGCAGCGCAGATGACGGTAAATGCGCAAACTCCCGTACAATCTGTTTTTAAATTTAAAAAACCGTTTAACTGGCCTGAAGCGTCGTGAAGTGAACGGATGCGACGTACACCAACGGTAGAGATATGACCAGTTGCGAGGGTCCTCCGGATCGTTTGGGAGCCACGTAACCAACTTCACATCCTTCAGCTGCGCAGCCTTCTCTGGATCCCGAAGAGCACCAGGAATCATAGAGACATGAGTAGGGATCGGTCGCAAAGCCAGGTCGGCCTGCATGTAACCAGTTTTAGAGACGGTACGATATTCATCTGTGAACCCTCCGCGTTCGACATCCGTGGTGGTGAAGGGGAAACTCAGGTCCGCCCTATTGCGATCGTGAGAGGGGGGCGAGCGCAGTTCATTCTCGTCACCGTCTTCTGCCACATACTGGGGGGCCTCATCAGGGACGATGGTGGCCGTTTCGCTCGGAGACATGTTAGAAGGCATAATAGAATACGGGAAGTCGTAAGGAGAAGAAAGGGAGAAACGCCGACAGACGGGGACCGTCAAATGCGGCGAGGAGGGAGAAGGAAAATGGAAACCATGCGCAATTTACGGTCTAATATATAGAGACCCAAGGCGGGTGACAGGCGGTGGCTTGGACGAGGCACGTAGCCGGAGCCCTACAGATTCATCTTGTGTGGATCTGTAGGGCTCCGGCTATAGCCTTGCCCAAAGCTCCGCGAAAATTCCCCACCTCGGAGCATGGCAGAAAGACCCATTCGCTTGATGGCCAATTAGCGTGAGAGCATGCGAATAGTATTTGCTTTGGAATTCATTCATGGAGTGGTCTACCGAACACGGGTGGTCCAGATACTATCCATATCGCCAGTCGACGAGGAGGAACTAGATGAAAGCAAGCGGGGAACATGCAGGACCGACGAGATCAAATCAAGGTATTGACAATTCGTTGTTGATTAGTCCTGCAACATGACAGAGGGCGAACAACATTGAATATAAAAATGGGGACAAGAAATGCGCGCCCCTCCTTGAGCCACAACTCTCTCCGGCGCCCCGGCTAGAATCAAGCCCGGTCGTTCCATATATGGTAATTACCCCTCCGACTTACTTTTCTCAGGGTGGCTGTACCCGCCGCATGCTAGCGACAGGCCCTGCGCAAATGCTCTCGCTGTGCCCACCCTCCATGTACATCTGCATATCCTACAGTCCCTCATCCAGGGCCTCGAAGCGCATGCACGGACAGCATCCGGCTCCGCTGCATGCAGTCGAGCGATCTCCATTGATTGCTATCAAAGAGAAGAATCCAGGCCTGCACGCTTCACGCGCGGAAACAAACTCTTCCTTGGCCTCAGTTGCGTTGCGTCTCGCCACAGCATGCTCATCCCGCGCTATCTCAGACAATGCTGCTCGGAATCTGCATGCACGCACATGCGCCGGCGACGACGAATCTTTTTCTCCCTCCACAACGTGCAACGGTCGCTTTGCCAGCGATGACTGGAAACACATCCGGGTTCCGGCCTCGCCTCACGCCGCGCTCAGGGCTCTCCATCATGCTTGTGCGCTCGGTCTCCCTGTCGCCCAAACGCGTCGCCACCACCGGTACCCTCTTAGCCGTCGACATACGCGGCGACAATCGCACGCAATCTCGCAAAGATGGACAGATAACGCCGCTTCACCGCGCGCTCTGAGGTGATCGTGGCTCAGCCCGCTCGGGTATACGACCGTTCTGAGCGTATGTGGACAAGCCCTAATGCTGCGCCCGCAGGCGATACAGAGCTTCTGCGGAACAGGCACCCATCCGGCTTTGTCGAAGGTTACAGTGCCGACTGCGACGTGCAGGAAACTTGCCTCTTCGATGGGGGCGACTCCCGCTGCGCGCCCCTATCTGAACGCTGTGCGTCGGGCGTCGGGCATTGGGCGACGATTGGCGCGTCCGTCGCGTTATACCCTCCTAATCACCTCCGCTTTGTTCGACTTCCGGCATTCGGTTTGCCGTACATCCGCGCGAGCGTTTCGTCGGTGACTGTAACTGGCTTCTGGCTGATACGCTCATGACATGTTATCAGAGCGACAGAGCCAACGCCGGGAAGGAATCAAGCGTGCTCGCCTGGCGGAAGGATGAGCATGAGCGGGTTCATTCATCTCAAAGACGAGACTCCAAGGTGCGGCCACAGTGCAAGCAAAAGGTGTTTGTTCCTTGTTCTATATTGGGTTCCAGGCGCCAAGAGATTGTTCTTCCCGATACATCACGATCTTCGGCATAGCCCGAGATTCTGATGTCCACTGCTCATTGGTCTACGATAATGCTCTATGTTAGGCATGTTCCGAGCCTGGTCCTTGAGCGGAACGGCGGAGTACTGTAGCTAGACTGTGTTCATGTATCTTTCATGCACATGTCGAAGCCTAAACTGCTATTGAGAAAATTCTGCATACCCATCTTACGAGTCACGCAGGATATTCGAGGGAAATTTCTCGCGAAAAACTACTCACCAAGATAATTTGGATCCGGCAATCTCGGAATCCGGTGGTCACAATGTTGATATCGCAGTAAGCCTCGCCGCGCTGGAAGTACCAGATAGATGCTCACGAATGCTCAATGGGGATATCGATGTGGAAGGTTCGGGCACGGAAGAAACACTCCTGCTTATCTTGGCTGGAAACGTACTGAATGGCAAGGCTCTGACAGGCAGAGACTGCTGGCATGAATACGACGTCTCCAGACAATTCCATACAACTCAACCCACCGGCCTGGGCTCATCAGGAATAAGCCCGACCTTCCCGGACGCTGTGAACCTCGAGATGCACGCATCGCACACCGAGCGACGCCTACGTCCGACTGGCCAATGGCGTACTCCACAGAGCGGTCTGCGCTGGTTAGGCCCCGTGCGACGCTTCTTTAGATCTGACTTGGCGGGATTTCGTGCGCGCGCCCCTTCTACCGGTGCGTAGTATTTGGTGCGGAGCCCAAATAAAAATAACGCGGCTAGTATCTGGGTCGATGCACGTGGCACTGAGGCCGGCTAGCTGCACATCGGACGTTGCCGGCCGGTCGCGGTGGTGTGTGGCAGTCGGTGGGTGTTCTATACTTAGATGTCTAGAAAGGTGCTGCCAGTGGGGAATGGAGAAGGGTGGGGCCCCGCTTTGCCTCCAGATGTTCTTCGGGCGACGTTCTTGCGGTGCTTCGTGATGTTTATGGGGGAATGATAGAAGGTGCAACCGTCGGCCGGGCGAGGGAGCGTGGGTCGGACATCGGACGCGACTCATCAATGCACGTGATCGCGTCGTGCGCCACTCAGATCTATATATCTTACAGTGAGAGGTTTTTAGGTTCATGATACAACTGCAGGTGAGGACAGAGAAAGAAACAGTTTGCAGCGAATCACTCACTGTATACAGCGAGATACTCTTGATTTTACATACTAGTCAATGTCCACTGAGTGTCATAGCCAAAGCTATGGTACTCTTGGCAGGTATTGTCGTGCAGAGGATGAATCAATATTGCACCAAGCCTAAGCTATCCGGGAGCGAGGAGTGCTTGCACTTTTCAGTATTCCAATTCTTGGCGGATCTGTGTCCTCAATAAGTACAAACTACGGTCCAGCCTGGAGACACAGGCCTCAAAACTCACCCAGAGCACTCGTCATCGCCTTCCATGCCTTCGGAGGTCTGGGAGCACTCATGAGGAGCTCTACTCCTAGCAGATAATGTCGAAGTTGATGCGTTGTCACTTTACGGACACGAATACGCATCATGGAAGTCGTCGCATCATCTGTATCCGAGAAATGTAGGCGCCCTTGAAGTAGAAGCGATCACTGAAACCCATCCCGCGCGTCTTCCTCGATGTGCTTCAGTACCAGCATAGCGAGGCTGTTCAAGGGTCGGCTAAGTAGAGCTCGGATTTTTTTTCATGCTGCCCGCCCACGGTACGTTGCATCCGTGTTTCAGCCAGCCGCCAGCTAAATCGAGCCATCAAAATCTCCTGGATAACGTCTAAGGACACGGAGGTCATTGGCGATCGACCCTTCCACTGCAGCGCAGTCGTAGCTGAGAGCAAAGAGCAAGAGCTTATCCTTTCGTCGTAAGGTGCGGTATTCCCACACCGTCCATCGAATACGGTGGACATAGAATGTCGGTTTCAAAACGCTGTGCTCGAAATTGAAATTCGAGACACGGACAATGAAGCCAAGATGACCACTGGTTTGTTGACGTGTCACTTCATGAGGACGAGTGGCCATACCAAAGAGACGAACAGTTTGATCCACAACATAGTTTCTCTTGCTGACGACATCGACACGTCGGTTGGAAGATGCTTAGGCCCTCTGGAGTCTTAGAATGACGAGCCTGACGGAGTATGCGGGGCGTTCAACTTTATTATGCCGCCAGTCCCACACTGCTCTTCCTCTCAGTTACCAGGACATCCTTTCCGGTGCGCTCTCGTGGAGCACGAATAGCAGAGAAAAACAGTCACGATGTATGGCTCGACATTGGTGTGACTCTACACCTGTGAGCTGCTGTCACTCTCGAAAGAGCATATTTTTATTGGCATACTTATAATAGAAATTACAGCAGGTCATAGAACCTGTTTGTCGACGCATATCAGCTCAGCATCAGCTACATTTGATCATTGCCTTATCTCACCTTGCCCGGTATCCTTTTTCACTTTATACGCATGCGCAGAAGGTCATGACTTCAACATCATCGATATGATTGACCCATGTATTGAATCGCGCCTTTGCAAAGATAGACAGTCTGTCTCCTGGTTTGAACTGCTCCATCCATATCTTCGTGCCAGCGTCGGCGCCACACTCCCAAACTTTGATGTGGACGTGCGGGAATGAGGACGCAGGGACATTGTACGTGATTATTCGACGTGACAGCTCATGGCTATCTCGATAACATCCCGCCTCAAACCAGGTCCACGAACCGCTTTGGTTTCGCCATCCTGTAACGCAAATATTCATAAGAACAATGTCCTCCGCACGTCAATGTGAGAACATTATTTGTAGTCCTCACCTTGATCGTGTGACGTGATCTTGAATATGACCTTGCGTAAAGGATTGTGCGCTCGCCCACTTATGTTCGAAGTGGTGAGACATAGCAGTTCGCGCTCTTCTCCGTCGCCTTTTCCTTGGACAACGCATTTCTTCGTGCCCTGTTCTCTGTGTCGGACCCAATACTCCGCCAGATCCAAGATCCATTGCACTAGATCTCTCCCGACCAAAGAAGCGAGCAAAGCTGCCATCTGTTCGACATCGTCTTTCGTCCGAGGAGCATATATATAGTTATGTCTCAGATCAGCACACTCGACGTCGCTTGCACCGCATTCCCGTAGGTAGCTTCCAACGGAGGTATTAGTGCATGGTCTGAGTGCATAACACAGCCTGCACGAATTTATTTTTCCACGGGAAACCTGATGAAAAAATGGTGAAAATATCTTAAGTCTGGATATGGAAATAGTTTGGAAATCAGGTGGAGACAATTGAATTATGTTTCAATTGCTTCACCGAAACATATCGGTATCACATATTTTTGGACTGAAATATCTTCCTTTGGGAAATAGAGCCACCGGGGGCATGGGCCCATGATTCTGCCCAAAACATTTTGGACACATTGTAATAACAGTCCAAATAATTATGCAATGTTTTTAGCACATACATTTTGAAATCATTTTGAATGTTTTAAAATGTTTTAAGCATCAACATTGCGGCACAATTTTGATAGCATTCATAAAGATGCAAGAATGAGACCCCAATGCTGCAGATGACAGCATTTAAGCATTATGGTGATAGCAACCCAAATGTTTCTTGGGAGAAAATCTCAAATGATACCTGTGAGTGGCCATGATGTTTTCAAGATGTTCTCAATGGATTCATCGTGATCGCATAATTGTTATTACTATATATAGTAATGTGCTAACCATATTAGGACACCCCTGATGCGTTCAAGATGATTCCAGCCGGCACATGATGATAAGCATTCTAGTACTCATCGTAACATTACATTGATCACATTTGTAATGTACCCTTAAGATCCATTCAAAATGATACCAATATATTATATGAATGCTGGCCAGAGCAAAATTGTTGTCTCATCCTGGTGTCTTTCTGAATAATATTACTATTATTCCACAATGAGCTCACTCGAAATAATTCAAATCATTCTGTGATGTTTACATCAGTAACATTAGAGTTACATTGTGACTGTTATCGTGATGTGTCCAAAATGTTCCCAGCGGAATCATGGGCTCATGCCCCCGGTGAGCCACTATTGCTGATACGTTTCGGTAAAACAATCATAACATAATTCAATTGTCTCCACCCGATTTTCAAACTATTTTCATATCCAGACATAAGATATTTTCACCATTTTTGCATCAGGTTTCCCGTGGAAAAATAAATCTATGCAGGCTGTGTAAGGCGTGTATCCGGAATGATTACGTGCGTGGATGTCGCACCCCGCCTCCACCAAGATACGCGCCATGGCCGTATATCTCGAAGCGACTGCACAATGCAAGGCCGTGCGGCGGTCGGCGGCGGTCGTGTCCGCGTCCGCTCCATCACCCAAGAGGCTCTTCACCATCCCCATGCGGCCCCTGTACGCTGCGAAGAGAATGGCATGATCTCCCATATACCCACCCTCCAAATGCGGACTGGCTCCGTGAGCCAACAGAAAGGCAAAGATGTTCTCGTCTCCGGTCTCGATAGCGACCCAAAGCGCGGCGGACACGCAGCATCCGGTGCCGTACCGCGCGCTTCGAGTCCATGCCGGCCTGGTGCATCGTGCGTACTCGTTGATATCTGCCCCTTCTTCGAGGATTCGCCTCATCTCGTGCACATGCCCCATCATCGTAGAAGTCATGCGCGGAGTGCCATGACAGTCTATCTCGCAGATAGCAAGCTTAACCAGCTTTCGCTCCTCGTCCCGAGGCTCGTTGATTGGCATTTCAGAGCTGGCAGATGTGATTGAGTTTGCATTCCAGTCTGAGTCGTGTGTGGGGTCGTAGTCGCCCAGCATGTTACGTAGAGGATACAAGATGGCGATTGTAAGAGGCAATGTGCGCTAAAATACCGGCTCTCGTATAAATCAGTCGAAGTTGGACATCATGCATGGAAGACTCGGCAGAACCGACGCTGCTTTACTGAACAGGATTTGGACTTGCTGTATCAGCAAGAAGCGCAGCCACGCGCACAATGAAAGGCGTTCGCGTAACTAATTGATATACATAACGAAGGTATTGCCAAATTTGCAGTGACCCAACCGAATAGCCGCATACACATTGATTTGAGATTTGATGAGCTTCGCCACGATGCTTGACTAGGATCGAAGGATGTGAAGATGTAAAATATATACAACCTTCAGGAGCATTGTCTGAGTCTTCATCTGTTGCAGCGACTAGCCGTTAGTACCAAATGCATCATTGAGTAGTTGGTTCACGCACTTCAGAACGACCGATCTAGTACGAGAGTCTATACGTAGGCACAGAAAGTCATCACCTGAACGTTCAGTACGTCATTGCACCATCCACTGAATTGTGCCTTCGCATAGATCAACAATGTATCTCCCCGCTTGAACTGTGCCATCCAGTCATGTGTGCCTTCATCGGCATGCACGTCCCAGATCTTGATATGCGTGTGCGGAACTGAGTTTGCAGGCATGTTGTATGCGATAGTTCTACGAGGCAGCTCGCGATGTTCTCGACAACCACCGGCTTCGAACCATGTCCACGATCCATCGTGCGTGCGCCACCCTAGGACGATCATTCATTAGCGACTACGTAGTTGGCCCGCACGAACACTCGGTATACCTTGATCGTTAGCGACGATTTTGAAGATGACCTTGCGCAAAGGTCGATATACTCGTCCCATAATTCCTGTGCTGAGGCATAACGATTGGCGCTCGAGTCTATCGCCGCCCCCTCTTACTTTTGGAGTCACCATCTCCGAAGACTCGATTCGCCGAACCCAATACTCTGCAAAATCCAAAATTTGACGAACGAGATCTCGCACTGTCAAACGCGCCAGCAATATTGCTGTTCGTTTGACGTCGTCCTCCGAGCGAGGAACGTACTCGTGCAACATATCTTCGCGCCCCTGATCCGTTGCACCGTGAAGGATAAGATCCTGTGTGACGGCTTCATCCCAAGCGAATTGACGTGGTGTGCAGCCGAAATGGTTACGAGCGTTGAAATTGCAACCCGCGTCCGATAGAAGCTGTCTTATCGCGCCAGCCCTTGGATGGAATGCATAGTGTAAGGCCGTACGGCCATCTTTGGCTCTCGTATTCACGTCCGCCCCCTGATCTAAGAGGATCCTCACAATCTCCGCCCTTCCTCTGTATGCAGCAAAGAGGACCGCGTGGTCGCCCATGTAACCATCGGGTAAGTGAGGGCTTGCTCCGTGGTCAAGTAGGAAATTGAAGGCGTCCAAGCTACCAATATCGATCGCGACCCACAAAGCCGATACGCAAGAGCCGGCAGCGTACCATGCATGTCGAGTGGATGTCGGTCTGGTGCATCGCGCAAACGCGTTGATATCGGCGCCATTCTCCAGAATGCGCCTCATTTCGCGCACATTGTGTTCACGCGTCGCTGTCATGAGCCTGGTGGCGTGACAGTCTATCTCGCAGACCGAGAGTCTGCGCAGTCCTTGTTGATCGTCCAAAAACTCGTTAAGTTGGACTTCAGAGTGAGCCGATACGACGGAGTCCGTGTCCGAATCGTGTTCGGCGTCATTATGATCCATCTTTCGTCTTCAAGTGGTGGAGCGGAGGGAGAGCGAAAGTGAAGAGGTGAGTGGGGCCCTTGGAACAAAGCGAAGGGACGTTAAAGTTCATAGGCGAGGCGGTGCATTTATAAGAACTACGATAGCATCAGATTGTGCGGGAACACCCATACGGGTGGAATGGGGATAGATTGCCCGAGATAAGGAAGTCATTTGTACCTCAAAGCGTACATCAGAGAAATTTTCAAGATGTCACCGTTGCATTAAATGGAACCAGAAGCGTACACATCCTGCATTCCGACGAAAGACGAATAATGCTATTTTGTGCCGCGGCTGCATTCCCCCAATGCTATCACGAGGCCTTTGCTCATCCTCAAATTGTTAGGAAAGAAACCCTACGTACCCAGCATTGGTCTCATGCCGATTCGCCATATGAGTCGTCTTCTATCGTGCGATACATGGTGCTCAACGTCGGCTCTGCCATAGTCAAGATCCTATAATTCCTTAGGCTTGGGCGAGTCTTTCGATTTAGCCACTGAAGACATTCTGCTCAAGGCAATCTACCTGAGCATGCTAATGAGCATAGTAGCAAAGTGTCGAATGGTAAGTCAACTAGCGACAACTGATTTTCTCGCTCACCGATTATGTAAAACTTCTTCCTCAGACGGCACCCGCTTGCTAAGGGTGCTTGCGCCTAGTCTGCCACAATATTGCCTTCCGCGTTCGTATGGGACTGAAAGCCCTTGAGAGTCAATGGTCAGCATAATGAAAGACGGATGCAAGAGACGCTGGAGCACGTACACAATATTGCATATCGTGAAATCAAGACATAGCTGACCGTCGTGAAGAGTGAAAAAAGAAAAGCAAATTTCCTTGCGGCGAGCGGCAATGCAACCCTTGAAATCATAATGTTCACTCAAGGCATCCTGAGTCGCAATGAGATTCGACGGTTAGTCTAGCACTATCAATACACCAGGTAGTCTCAACTAGACTATTGTGCACAATACACATATCATCCAAGCGGAGCAATTACAATGAGACAAACGACAAACGTTACAAAAAATCCATGCTGGCAGCGACGCACCGAAACTACTCTTACTGCCATCCGTCTCCCGCATTCCGCACCAATATTCGCGCGTTGTTGACGAAGGCGCGGATCAGTTCGTCGAATGCCCCGCGTTCTTGCTCCGGAACGGACGGGTCGCCCCGCTTTGCGGCCATTGATAGGAGGAAGTCGGAGCGCGCGATCTCCACTTCGAGTTCATGCAACACTTCCGTCTATGAAATATCGCACGTCAACCGATGACACCCTCAGTAAGCAGCTGTCATCACATACTTTTCCGGCAGCATTCGATGTGACCTGTGTGAGGTCGATCAGGAATTCCTCGTGGGAGTAGCTCATGCGGTCCTTCCTCCGCGTATGCGTCGCCGTCCCTATCGGCTGTTGCACTACGAACCGTCAGCAAGATGACCGGTTCGTGTTCCGTCAACACGCACGCGATCGCTGTGGCTAACGCTTACTTTACTCACCTGGTACCTCCACATTTACACTGATCCTCCAGTCCGCCGCGCGTTTCGGACAATAAATGTCCAGGCTTGCGAGCCGCACCTTGCGGACACACGCCTGCACGGTGCCACTCTTCTCGTCTCGTGTGACGCGGATGCGCTCGCCATGGCCTTCGGATGCGTAGAAGGAGTCGATGAGGCGGAGATGCTCGTATGATATTGGGGAGGTGGAGTAGGGTGGTGGTGATACTTTCAGTCCGTTGAGAAGCCCGTTGAAGTGCCTGTGTTGCATCTGACCCAGATGTCAGAGAATGCGAGCACGTCGAAGGTATGCCGTACCGGCGACATGTTGGATTCGAATCTGCAGTCGATGGCATTTGGTACGAGTACTGCGGTGCGAGTGCAGACGAATGGTAGTAACGATATAGATTGTGCATACGTGACATGCATGAGACACCAACAGGACACATAAAAATATAGACATACTAGTCTCGACCAGAACGGGCAGCTGTATCCGCTGTCCTGACATCTTATCTCGCAAAACCCCAATCTTGGCCTCAACTTCCACCTGTCCCGGGCCCTCCGGACGTGTGCTGATCATATGGTGCACAAAGTCGGCCACCTCGCGGATGAACTCGTCCATTGGCTCGACTCCAAGAATAGACACAGAGAGAGGCGGTAGCGCAGACGCATGAGGTGTGTATCCCTTGCCGTTGCCATTGCTGGTCGGATTATAAGGTGATCCGGTCGTGGGTGGTTGGGTAGCTGGAGGTGGCGGCGTTCGACGAGCACGCTTGGGCGGTCTTTGGGCGTCGTGGTCAGACTCATCGTGTAATTGCTCCTTGTTATCCATAGCGCCGCGTACTAAAGGAGATAATTGCTTCAGAATAATCAGCCCAGATGCATGGAAAGCAGCGTTAGGTCGCGTAGGTGGCGGTACGCAGACACGCAGAAGTGAGCGTCTAATGCAGCGTACTTCAGCAAGCGCCCGTAGAGGTCACGCGACACGCGGATCCAAGTACGAGCGTCTGTTGGGCGTCTACAGCGCTTTCCCCGCGTTGCACCGCAGACATGAAGCGATTTGCGCATGTGGCAAATGCTTAGCAAATGTCGACAGGTTTTTTGCCTTTGTGATCTCAATTTGCTATGGTTCCTTCCCACATTCCGTATTAAGTATTTGCATATAATATGTTGGAGGCAGAAATTTAATATCATATATTTAAGAAATGACACCATTTTCAAACTCACCAAATACATTTAGAATTTGAGTGCTGTTGAATGTAATCATACATTTTTGAATTTCAAACTATGACATGTATAAAATATCCAGTAGCAGATGAAGGTGTGATTATGCCTACATTCTACTTCCCTACTGAAGTCATTCTAGCCAAGATTACTAGAATGAAAGTCATTCACCGTAATTACACCTTCATCTGCTACTGGATATTTTATACATGTCATAGTTTGAAATTCAAAATGTATGATTACATTCAACAGCGCTCAAATTCTAAATGTATTTGGTGAGTTTGAAAATGGTGTCATTTCTTAAAATATATGATTTTAAATTTCTGCCTCTAACATATTATTATGCAAATACTTAATATGGAATGTGGGAAGGAACTGTAGCAAATTGAGATCACAAAGGCAAAAAACCTGTCGACATTTGCTAAGCATTTGCCACATGCGCAAATTGCTTCATGTCTGCGGTGTTGGCCTCTGGCGTGTACCATATGACCGCTCCTCGTCTCCAACCCGCCTTTTCCTCAACACCCACCTTGCCGGGGAGCAGAAGGAGAAGACGTGCGCGATGATCAGAACAATGCGACTTCGTTGTCTCTACCCCAGTGCGCTTCTCAGAAGGCGCAGCGGCGCGATGTCCTACGCCAGATCGCTGTCCATGCAGCACGAGCACGGACATCTCCCGTCGTCGCAGTCGCCTATCACTCCAAAGCTGCAATTCTTCAATTCTGTCACCACAGATGGGCAGCAAATACCCACATACAGGGTGCTTGATGGCGTCGGAAAGCCGATTGAAGGCGCGACGTTGCCTGAGGTTCGTCGCTTGCGGATCATCGACGAGTACGGTCATCCGTTACTCAATTGTTTTCTAGATCGGGGAAGACGTGGCACGACGAATGTAAGCTGGTTTGTTACGCGGTGCTCCTAAACTTGATGGTAGCAATGCACAGGTATGAGAACATGGTACAGCTGCCAATCATTGACAACCTCATGTACAACGTGCAACGACAAGGCAAGCTGGCTTTTTACGTGAGTGCATCTGCCACACGTATGGAATTAAGTTATTCATATTCCATAATAGATGACGCATGTATGCCTAGTTCTCGCTGTGCAGACCTTCGGAGATCTCATGTACTTCGTAGTACGGCGAAGAAGCTACCTTAATAGGGTCAGCTGCTGCCCTGGCCCTTGACGACGAGTAAGTGGCTCACAATTCTTGTCTTGGCAGCTGAACGAATATTCGTCGAAGAGTGCTTGGTAAGTCGCCTTGATCAGTGCCGCAAGAAGCGTATTGAACATTGCAGGGCAATATCGGGAGTTGGGTGTCCTCATGTGGCGAGGCTTTACTCTGGATGACATGATGAATTCATGCTTCGGTAACTGCGAGGATCCTTGTTCGCGAGGCAAACAGATGCCCATGGTGTGTGACGTCTTCGTGTGCAATTGAGCAACATGCCTAAAGTTATTACCGTGTAGCATTTTGGCTCTCGAGCACACCATTTCCACATGATCTCCTCGCCCTTAGCGACCCAGATCCCCCAAGCAGCGGGAGTCGGATTCGCAATTAAGCGCGATCCAGCCCGGCGAGGTCGTAATTGTGCTGTAGTCTATTTTGGCGAGGGCGCGGCCTCGGAGGGCGACTTCCACGCGGGAATGCTTTTCGGTAGGCATTTCATCTTCACCAACTGTTGGTCCATGACCTCATCTGCCTCCCGCATCAGCTTCCACGATACCTTCTCCCACGCTGTTCATCGCACGCAACAACGGCTTCGCGATCTCGACGCCTGCTACGGAACAATATTACGGCGACGGTATCGCAGCCAGAGGTCCAGGCTACGGTGTACATACAATACGAGTCGATGGAAACGACGTCCTCGCGGTTTACAATGCAATCAAAGAGGCTAGAACGCTCTGCATCGACGAAGGCCGCGCCGTCCTCGTGGAAGCAATGACATACCGGTAAGCTTCATCCTCACTGGCTAGTCACTGTATTGATGACGTGCGTGTCAGCGTGGGCCACCACTCGACCTCGGACGATTCCTTCGCCTATCGTCCCCGGCAGGAAGTGGAGGACCGCAAGCGGTTAGACAACCCCATCGCGCGTTTCCGCCTGTTCCTCGAGGCGCGCGGGTGGTGGTCAGCAGACGAGGAGAACGCGTTGAGAGCTCGGCTCAAGGACGAGGTCATGAGTGCGTTTAGGCGAGCAGAGGCGCTGCCAAAGCCCGAGCTTAAGGAGATGTTTGACAACGTGTACGGAGGCGAGGAGCCGTGGTCGATTGTAAGTGCTCTACCACAAAAGCTGCATATGAGAGAAGCGTTGATCGTTGATGATCTCGCGCAGAGGGAACAGCGCGAGGAGCTGAGCAGGCTCTTGAAAAAATACGGGAATGTTTGGGAGCCATGGAGGTCCGAGCTGCAGAAGCACAAGGGTGCTGGGAAGGAGCTGATGGAGGACTCGCAGTGAGGCCGATCACAGATCTCCACCACGAGTTCCGTGTGTATTCTGGAGTACTCACTTCTTAGGGGAGATGACGATGTGATTGGAAGTTCTGGTCCATACGAGACGTCATGAATAGTCCCGGCCTGGCGAGTCGAGAACTGTGAAGTATGAGTTCCTGGCGAGCGAGTGGCGGGAGATGTAGGACTGTGACTATGCGTCACGCCCGTTGCGAGGTCACTTCGGAGGCGAGGTCACAGCACTTGCACAGCTACCGCTTCCAGTTTGCCACGCATACAACGCCTCGATTTCATTTTCTGCGATGCGAAAAGCCGAGGTGGCAGTCGTTCATGAACGAAGGGTCTCGAAGAGCAGGTGCGCGCCACCAGTTTGATTAAGTTCATGATAAAATATGCATGCATGTGCAACCTTCACGACCGTCAATCGTCGGGAGAGCACGCCAAATTTGCATGCCCCCCAAAAGCCGCAGTAGGACATCCTATGGAGCGGACTCTTGTTTCGTTGCCCGCCAGTCCTTGGACTCGAATAATTGACAAGAGTTGCCCTGCTCACTGTCACAGATCCCGCTGTGTTTCTCAGCAACCATCTTGACTCTTGAGCAGTGTAATGTTCTCGGCCTGCCACATGCACAGAGCGAGCAAATATGTGGCGATTGTGAGGACACGGCGATGATTGTGCGTCGTGGCGAAGTAGATGCAAGCCTCTGGAGCTGCAGGGACCATCAAAAGATAGAGCATGGATGAGCCAAGTTTTGGCGCCGGATTTCATGGTCGCCCGGAGAGTGACTCGCACAGGTGACACAATCGTAATGCTGAACCTTGTGCATGAGAAGTGCCGGTGAGCATCCGTTCGTTCCTCCATCAGCGGCAAGTTACAAGCATTCCCTTTGCAGGCCATCATGTGTGTTCGAGGCCTGCCATCTCCTTGACGATGCGGACGCGGTCACGTGTGCACAAAGGATGTGGTCTACACTGTACACGGATCATTGCCAGCAATGATCTCATCCAAAATTCGGTGGTCCCGCCAGAGGGCACGCGTTCTCGCGGCTGTCAGCTGGGGATGTTCATGTTGTTGATCCTATCTTATTCCCAGGAAAACGCCTTCCGTGTCCCACACCATTATTAGATTTCAAGTGACGATGTAGGGAAACCATAGTAAGTAGTGAAGATGCTAGGCACTCCTTCATGCATGCGTCGCACATGGGAGCCATGGATCGCCCTGCTCCGCGCTAAATGCGCCATGATTTGCCTCGTTGAGTAAGGCAACAAACATGACGCTAATTTAGGATGAACTGCTTATCACGACATCAGATTCTTACAGGTTGCGTCAGATCCGATGACTGCTTGACGACCGTTGGACGCTTCTCGATCGCTGAGTCGTCGGTCGTACTCGACCTCCTTGCTGCTCCTCGAGGCTGACCTGCTGGATGTATCAGGACTCCGTTCTGCCTTGAACCCGGCACAGGCGTGTCTTGCCAGGTCAAGATTGTTCGACTTTCTCCCCGCCAGATGTCGCTTTCGCGCCCATTGCTCGTCTGCATTCTGGTGCTGGCCCTAGGACCGCAGTTTGCATTGGCCATTTTCGATTTCGTCACCTATTCGCCTGCGCTGCAATGCGCACCCTTTTCTGTCGAGTTTTCCGGCGGTACCTTTCCTTCCGCTCTTCCTTTGAAACTCACCGTCGTTCCTTTTCACTCCAACTTCACCCCATTTTCTTTTGACATCCCCGACTCCGCATGGAATGAAACCACCGACACAGGTCTTGTAACCACATTTCTTCCTATCAAGGAAGGAACGGACTTCGTCGTCTCCCTCGACGATGCGAATGGTGTCCCCACTGGTCCCATCTCTCAGGTGATCAGGGTAGAGGATTTCAACGATTCGGCCTGCTTGGAATTCGAGCAGGTCTCGAAGACGAAGCCATTTGCACTTGCCAGTGAACTCTCTCAGTGCGAGCAGTTCAATGTCACCTTCAATACATCCGAAGTGGACGCGGCGCCGACGATACGGGCATTCATCCCTGGAGATACCTCCTTCCTTGTCAACTCAACCTCATCTGATACTGCGCGGGGTGTTGCTTCATATGTCATGGACGCGCTTCACGGTAAAGAGGTCGTGTTGATGCTGAACGGCAGCGGACATAGCGAAGCCACCGATCTTTTTATCGTTGGTGGGAGCGCGGCGAGCAATGCCACCTGTCTACCCACCTCCTCCACGGCTACAAACGTCACTTCTTCTACTACATTTACCGTTACCTCCTCTGTGCTTGCTACGTCACGCGCGAGCGCGAGCTCGACTGCCGCTTCATGGTCAATGACAGGTCATTCTACTACATTGTCGCAGTAAGTCCAGCATCAACTACGATTATCTCTGCATTAAATTCAGTTTGACTAATTGCCTCGCTTCTACAGGGGTGCTATCATAGCCGTTGCGGCTGCGTCAGCCACAATCGTGCTCGTAATTCTGCTGGCCATGGTTGTGTGGCTGTACTGTTCGCGACGCAGAAGGTACGCAAGTGCTGCGGCTAACGTGGAACAATGCATTGTGGGAGCCTCGCGATCCGAGGACGAGAAGCGGCCCATCCCCCCGCCAATCATCGTGCCTTCAAAGGCTGAGTCTTGGGACATCCATATGGAAACGGTTCCGACCCCGAAGAGCACTGATGCCAGGGTCAGTGCGAGTTACGGCAAGAACCCCCTTTATACAAATTCGAAGTTCTGGCTGCCGTCCCTGACTCCGCCCGAATTAAATCGAGCCCATTCGACTAGGTCGCTATCGAGAGCACCGAGCAGGAGCGACTATGGTCGGGCCAGTCGCGCATCGATGTCTATGCTCAGCACCTCCACCGCTTCACGTTCGTTGCAAATTGCCGACGCGTCCGGTGCCAGCCGCAGAGTACCGCTGGCCATCGCGTCTGCACAGAGCGTGCGCAGTATGGCGGGCTCACAGAGATTGCCGACCTCGCCCACGACGACCATCTCCACCGTCGACATGGAGTACTTCAGGGACATTGCAGAGCGGTACGGTGGGGGCATCAGTACTGACGCTATTCCGCTACCACCGCAACCAGCGTGGATAACAAAGGATACGATCCGAACGAGCGCATACCTCGCTGGGCTGGAGTCCACACACATTCTGTATGCACCCAGCTCCCCCAGCGCGCCTGTGCGCATGCGTCCATCGAGTCTAGAACCGGCCCCTCTCGCATCGTCAGCCCACTCTTTAAAGTCCGCTTCAGAGCGCGATCAGCAGCCGAATTCGCAGGTGTACCGCGAGCCACCTCAAGCCCTTGTTCCGTCGTCACCCGTGGCGACCTCTCTATCTTCAAGCTACGACACGATTTGAGTCGAGTTGATGGGATGTCGGAGTTGTTCCCGCCTGCGGCGGATTTGATATCGAGGCAGAGCCTCCAGAGACGCTTGAAGCGCTTTCCTTCTTGCCGTCGTATGGTTGCATGGGCATGCCATGGTGTCGGCAAATGCGAAGATCGAACCACCTCGGTTTCCCTTCGTGATAAGTACAATATGTTGTCATGTTTCATTTTCCTAGCTTCTCGTACCACTAGACTACCCTTGCATGGCCATGCTGATGTTCATGAAGTTTACGAACAGTGGTTGGACAGTTTGTATCAATAGCTGTAGTACAGATTGGCTAGGAAGGATCAGGTTGCTATTGGGCCGTTCGGCTCCTGTAGTGATTCTTTGCTGACAGTACCAGTCAAGCTAGCGCGTATGTCATGAGTCAGTCTTTCGTGTAGGGTAGTTATATCATGCAACTGTGTTCAACCTTCGTCGCAGTGGCACGCATTCACCGAAACTCCTTAAAACGGCCCGTAGGGATGGACAACTAGTCTTAATCAAGCCCTGCCATCCGAGTTTAAAGAGACTCCAATACATTTAGTCGCCTACATTGTGATCCTTCGTGACGTGCGCGACAACTTGTTATCCGTATATTCGGAACAAGACGAGTTTCAGTATCAGTTCAGAATCTCGGATACATGCACCAGACCTCCGCAGGAGAGTCGCACAAATCACAGTCCATAGACGTGGCATTAATCGCACCAATCGGATGGATGTTAAGACTGACCTTCACGAATGAGAAACCTGAATGAGAAAAGAAGCTCGACGGAGGCCACGAAATTCATGATCTTATTGCAACCTTCCTTGATCGAAATGTCGATATTCAAACTAATGCCGGAGCAGCGTCGGTGAAATGGCCAGGCAAAGATGGACGAGACGTCAGTGCAATTGCACCACTCGCGCCGTCTAACGTGAAGACATATATGTTCTTGCTCATAGCGCCGATATCATAGAGCCTCGAGTTCCAGCACAGGTCGAACGGATGTTTGAACGACTTCTTCATCTCATCATTTGCTGCGCCCGTCGTTGATACATGCGATTATTCTTAGATAGCATCATACAACGCGCTATAGTCCATTACGTTAAGCGCCACCAGTCCATATTATACAGCAATTAGCAGCCCGTAGAATATGATTACCCTATAGATAGAAGGGGATACCGTAGATGACAGGAGCTGCGCCCGTAAGATACTTCAACTTACACCGTTCGCGAGCTTGAGCAATCGCGGTCACCACCGACGTTCCTTGCCTTGAATTGTGTGCCATTGGCCGATCCACAGTCGAGGTGGTCAAATTTAATTGCTCAAACACTGCTTGTGAGAACTTGTCAATGTCTCGGTCGGTCACGTCCCACAAATTTGCGACAAGAGTCGGACTGAGGTTACGAAGATGTTAACCACGGTGGACATGCCTGGAGTGGTGACACTCACCATCCGGCCAGCATATAGTTATATGGCGTCCCGATACGGTCGAAATCACCCATATCCCTCAATGCACCGGAGGAGCAACCCCAGAGCATCGTCGCAGCACAGCGAGGCAAGTGCCGTAACCTCGACGAGCGCACATATTGTTCCGCCCCACCATGGCCTAAGTATCTGTCAAATTGAACTTCGCATCACCGATAGGGCGATAAAGAGGCAGCAAACTCACATGAAAAGATCGCTCCTTGTCAAAGCGTCCACAACTTCTTGTTCGCTTGGAGATCGCCCTACCACGCCACGCCAGCCGAAGGCTTTCATGTCCTTCAGCCACCCCACGAAGCGTCCTTCGGTACTTTTGAGGTCCCCGCTCGGATTCAAAACATAGAATGTCTTCCGAGGATTGATCGTAATTCTATCAAGCAAAGGGACTTCGTCTCCGTCCGTCTGGGCATTGGGCCGCGTGGATGATTGTCGGCGTGCGAGTTCAATCCTGTCCATAAGGAAGTCCATGTTCGGGATTCGACTGACGCTTTGTCCTCTAAGCGTTGGCAGAGACTCCCAAGGGATGCCTTGCACATTCTTGTCGAGAATAAGGAACGTATGGCTGTCCTCGACCGGCCTTCTACGGTCCTTCGTCTTCATCGCATGTTCTTTAAGTACGGATCGAAGATCAATCACAACATGGTCGATATCGACCTCCGCAATGGCTACGGGGACGCCATGGAACTGGTAGAGATCCAAAACAAAGTAGATAAGATCCTCCAGTTCCTCATCGGGACAGTCGACTGGTAGAGCAGAGAAGCATTTTAGCAAGGCATCGTTTAATTGAATATGTGCTTGTTGTTTTCTGCCTTTAGAAATCAAGCAAGTCGCAAGCACCTGATCGATACGGGTTCTAAGTGATGCTATGTCTTCTGCAGGCTCATACACCGCCGCGCTGAGGATGGTCTGACATAACGATGAGACTTTTTCGTGCGGCACCATTAGCAGACTAACACACCTTGAATGCGCCGAACCAGCAGAACTCGATGTTTTGCAGCAGATTTCGGAGCCTGATATCGAGCGCAGACCTTTGAGCCCACCATGCTGCCCGAGCTTTGCGGTCATCCTTACGAATATCCCCAGCCTGTCCAGTGCCTTCGTCATTTCGCCGCAGTATGTCCTTTAGCTCATCCATGGCATCGCGGAAAGCCAACTGTTCGTCTCCTTCATTGTCTCTTCGACCAACCAGTGGTAGACAGAAGACAAGAGGTTCCTCTCGTGCTCGTTGTCGTGTGACGAACATGATAGCTTTATCGTCCGTGACACTGATGTGCAGAACGGTCCAATTCGATGGCAGTGGGAAGTCTTGCCGTGCTGCAACAGCAGAGGATTCAGAAGACTGGGGCTGATATTGAGCATAGATGGAAGCCCAGTAGTCCCTCATTGTGGCTGATGGAGCGAAGAGGTCGGCTTCCTCATCCGAATCGTCGAACACATTTGCCCTAATGCGCCGTTGAGGCTCGCAATATGGGATCGGCGTACCGTCGGGTGTCATGAAATTCCAGCGCCGATCGTCAGATGTGACCGAATCAGCTAATTTGTACTGTATAGCCTCCAGGATCTCCCGTCGTAGCGTGATTGCGATGGAACGATCTGCCGAGAGAATTTCATCAATTGAAGGAATGATGATCATCAACAGTATCTACCTATCAGTTTCACAATGAGGCCCGAAGCGTTCTCGCCCGCACTCCCAAGTGAAGCTCGAAGAGCGCTGATCAAAGCTAAAGAGGTGGAGGTATCCCGCACATGAGGTACGCTTCCGCGATTAGCTATGAGCTTCAGATCCGACCATAATGATGTCTCAGCCGTAGCCAGAACGTATAGAATTTCCTGCGTAGATGACGCAGCGACGATCTGCTGCCGGGCAGAAACCGCAATGGGAATTATGAGTGCTGATGAAATATCAGCATTTTCCGCTATCTATCGACAGAAATGTTACCTGATTCTGCGAGTGAACTCAGCAATATGTCAGCGCGGAATTGAGAATACACGTCGTCCAACGTCAATCTCGCATTAAGCACGGTCTTTTCAGCCTGAGAATACGTAGATCTCAGTATAAAAGGTACAAATGGTGAGGGATCTTACCTTGGTTTCCGCAGTCAATGGCAATGAGGCAAGTCGTTTGAGTAAAGCATCATAATCGTCACCGGCGTCTCGCAAGAGAGAAACTACGAAGCAGAGGGACGAGAGATTGCGGAATCGGGTCAATCACACGCCGAAACCTGGCAGGGAATGATAGACTGACTATGCTGCCGCAAGGCTGCCGCCAAAATTGCAGGCGCCAAAGCCTGCTCTTTTGGCCGAACTCCAGGCGAGCCACCCAGGGAATTGCGTGCACTAAGAGGCATGAGAACTCCAGCCACTCGATTCAGAAGGTGGTATACCTGGCAACGCCGTCAAGCGCAGAGAACGTCTTGCCGAGGTCATCAAGCATAGAGATAGCATCCGCGTACAGCTGTTCCGCATCTTCCTGCTTCATACGCTGACTATATTCTCCACGCAGACGGTGAATATCAGCCATATCGGGACCTGTAACATCTGCAACAAGATCGGCTGCTTCCATTATAACATCATAGCCTTCTTCAAGATTGCCAAGGTGCAACAGCATCTCTCCTCGGCGAGCCAAAGCCCGACTCATCATAGCGGGTGCATTCAGTGCTCTTGCTAGTTCGCTCGCCTGTTGCACGAAACACTCCGCCTCCCTAGGAGAGCCCCGAGCAGTATATGCTCGAGCCAACGCGAAGAAGGTCTCGAGCAAACTCTCGGAAAGCCGCCATTCCAAACCGTCCATGAAAGCCTTGCTGTGGTAGGGTTGACGGTGTGCCTGTTGTTCCCCCAAGGGGCTGTCTGAGGGACGCTGAGCCTGTTTGGGATTGTCCTCTTTGACTTCGAATGGATTGTCGTCAGCTTCCACACTGGACTTTTGAGGTGTGGATGGACGCAATCGCGATACAGTGTCGATTGCTCTGTTCCACAATCTCAACGATTGAACAAGACCAGAGATTGACGCCGAAGGATCGTCCTATGTGGTATTCAAAATGGACACAACGCTTCATAGGCATAGCACGCACCCTTGCATGCTGAATCATAGCAAACGCACGAGAAGCAATAGCAGATCTCTCTAGAGCTGCTGCGCGCAGTCGGATTCTTTCCGCAATGGGTAGGCCTTTCTCGTCATCGGAGGTAGTCTTTGCGAGCGCCGTGGCCTCGGAATACATTACACAGCTATAGGGCATCAGCTTTTGCTCCAACCACTCTTATTGAGCACCACTCACGCTTTCGAGACATTCCCTGAAGCTGCAAGCGCCTCAGCATACCTCAGGTAGAGGAGGATGCGAAGTTCCGCGTTAAGTTCGATAGTGGAGGCAACAACACTGATGGAGTTGTGAATTGTGGCTGCTTTATCGGCCTTCCCAAGCTCGACGTAGTCATGTGCCAGTTCCAGAGCAATCGTTACATACTCTGGCGACGAGGTGAGGGAGCGTCTCCGATGAAAAGCGGAAGGCTATACCTGGAGAATAGCGGCCAATGTATTCTTCACAGACTCTCCGTGCAGTGTTCAGCAATTGAACCTTCACTAAAATCTGGCCAAGCAGGCCAAGCAACTGTGCCGCTGTACCTGTTCATCCATGAGTAATTTGGACGACTTGATCATTGAATGTGCTTAGAATATTGCTTACGCATTAGGCTAATGAGTTTGGATTTATCGTCAAAGGCGACTTCACGAGCCTTGCCAAGGGTTGCATGTCGTGGCGGTGTGACATACGTAGCTTTAGCCAGCTGATCATCCAAAGCTGCAAAATCCTCAAAACCTGTGCGTCATCACAGTATCAAACAACTGACCTGAACGGGCCTTTGGTGTTACAGGTACGTCTTCTCTTACGCTGTTTCCCGCTTTCGCCATCGGGAGTCTGCTTCGCCGTTGAGTGCGACTAGTCGCACCTCGTGCACTCTTAACGGAGGAGCGGCCTTCGGTGGCTGTTCTCCGCTTTAGCTTCGCAACCTCCGGAGATCGTTTCATAAGCGATGGCCTCGGCCCTTTAGAGAGGAGCTTCTTGAGGATCTTGCAAGCCTCCTGCGCGTGGCTCACAACTGCCGCCAGATGTCCTCTGTCTTGTTGGCTGTCTCTATGCGCATGAAACGCAAGCCACAAATGTAGCGTAACGAGATATCCGGAGCGACAAGGTGAAAGGCCGGAGTCGGAACTCGCTGCCTGTGTGGCAAATTAGCAAGATCACACTGGCTTTTGTGCAAGGATACCTGCCATATCAAGCAGAAGAGATTGGACTTCTTGTCCAATTTCTTCCGTGGTCGATCCCAACGTCCTCCTTCGCTTGTCTTCACCGTCAACATAATATCCCGTCTCAAGGAGGCTGATGAGTACTCGAGCCCTCCGTATAGGATGTTCATGCGGGACGTAGAGCGCCAGAGCATCTTTCAGCAGCTCTGCAATCGCCCAGCTGACTCCCTCTTTCCACCGGATCTTGCCCAATCCAGCCGCTTGACGTTCGAGCAGCGCGCCGACGATACAATTCGTCTCTTCCAGACCTGCCGACAAAACAGAGTGAAGTGGGCCGTTGGCAAACCACATCCGTGCAGAAAATGCACGAGGGTCCATGAAGAAGTCGCAGATGGACCTGTATGTCACGCGGTCGATGAGCTCCCCCAGTCGCTTGACCATGGGAGACTGTTCGAAAACAGATAGCACGGAGGTGGACTGGATGTCTTCCTGCAGGGATGTTCGACCGAACGGGAAATCCTTGATACAGTCGATGAATGCTTGATATGCAAGCTAGCGACGATTCGAGTGAGATCTGTCGGTGTGGCAATAGGACTTTGATGAAAGATATACGCTTACCTTCCGATCTCCTGTTTTGGCTTGACAAACACCAAGGAGCTCCCAGCGGCGCCACAGCTGTTCCTCCAGCTGTGCCCAGACTTCATCGTCACCATCTTCTCCGACTTTCGAGCTCCGTGAGGAGTAGTGCATGCGAAGAGCCATCCGACCCAGTTCACAGCTCTCGATGAGGAAACGCACAGCATGGGAGAATCGGTCAGCGTGGTATAGGACGCCTGCAACGTTGTGGAAAGCCCCTGCTATACAGCGGATAGAGTTGGCTATAGAAGGATCTCCCTCCTTGAAACTTTCTGCCTGTGCAGAATTGCTCGCGTTGACGTCAGGAAGGTGGTGGAACACCAGCTCCTTCGCGCGCTCGAGCATCTCCCATACTCGTTGATACGAGTCCATATCACGCATTACAAGCCCGCCAGGAGCGAGAGTGAAGAGCGTGTTAAGAGTGGGAGTGAGAAGCTCGATATCGGTTTTGGTCGACCCATGTCTCCTGCTTTTCTCAGATTTGGTCTAATGGGGGTCATCATGATCAGACCGACTGTTTCGAAATGAGAATGAGCACACACCTTCATAATAATGCGTGAGTAGGCATCAATGATCGATTTCAAGATTGTGAATGCCCCTTTCCGAGAATCAGAAACAGTGGAAGAATGCTGCGACTCTTCATGGGATGACTGCTCCAACACTTTGACCGCAACTCGACGCAGCCGTTCGAGTGATCGCCGCACACTGTCTCTTGCGGTACTACCGGCAGTACTGCTGTCAAGTTCTGTCGAGTCGCTGTTGCTGTTTGCTGCGAGGAAACTCTCAGCATATTGGACAGCTGAGACGGCAGTCTCAACACGGGAGCCTCGATCTCCGCTTTGGATTCCTGTCGAGAGGTCCACATCCGTCAACAGAGACTCTCAGGTCTTTCGAGAAGGAGGCTTACTGTTCGGATGTTCGAGGATGATAGTCGCACAAGCGAATGCTGAACACAGCAAGGACATTTGTACTTGCTCACATTCTGGGTGATCATCACATGCGCGCCCGTTTCTTGTGCATCCACATTGGAATGCGTCCGAGCCAGCCCTTGAAAACGGGGACGCACGCGGACTTGCTTTCAGTCGATCTCCGCGCAACAGAGATGTGAGACTATCCAAGACGTCAATATTGCCTGCCTACGCCTCCCGTCAGCCTATTTCATCAGTCACAAAAAACACGTTGGAACTCACCCGGCTCGCCCACTGAATCCAACTCTCGCAAAATCTAGAAAAGCCGTCCATTCTCAACCACTTGGCCTGATCCTCGCGCCGCTGCACGTAATACGCGAGATCGACATATAGCGTCAGAACAGTTCTTGCAATCGCGTCTTCAGGCCGGCTTTCCTCCACAGCGTACGTCTTTCCCCACCTGACGGCATGATCCCAATACATGTCCGGCGTGACGACTCCAGGACGGGTATATGCAAGGCACCTCAGCGCAAACTTGCGCAAAGTCAATGAATTCAGAGCAGAGACACCAGGTGCATGAACAGCCCGCGAAAGGGCGGAATATGCGCGAGTGAAGAGGGCGTCATGATGCTTCGCGTGGAGATGAGTGAAAGCGGAAACCCAAGAGAACAGAGACGGCTTCGAGTCGTCTCCAAGAATAGAGAGCAGAGCAGGTATGTCGGCCGGTCGACAGCAATAGACGGTAAGTACATGGAGGAGGAACGTGGCGATGAGCGTGAGGATCACCTCGGCGGGGGGCTTGTCTCCAGAGGGGAGAGGTAGCAATAGGAGGAAACATTCCGGCTCTGTCCGGGAAGATTTGTATGTGGGCTTGTATAACGCAATGAGGGCTGAGTACATATCCTCAAGGACTTGCCGTGCAAGCTTAACCTGGAGAACAACAGTTGGCATTTTCATATCAGTTCTCCTTCGTCAAAAGATAGCTAACCTTGTTTAGCGATACCAGCTTCCCAGCCACACTCGATGCCGCACGTTCCGTGTCCACGTCACCCGGAGTCGCCTCTCTCAGAGTCTTCAGTGCATCTCTCGCAGAAGCCACCAAGCTCTCCACATCAGCGTCCTTGTTTGCCCGAGACGCATTGTCCTTGTCGAGCATTGCAGATAACGCTTTCGACACGCTGTTCACCACACTCATAGCCTCCGTCCGGCGGTCTTCCAGCGAGCGTGGTGGTGATGTCGCCTTCTTCTTGCCTTTCCCGACATCGTCAGAAATGACCAGCTTGGTGGCAATCTCTGCTGCCAGCTCCTCTGTGCTAGATCGCTGTACTGCCGTTGGGTGTCGGGTTGACCGGGAGCGAGAGGTCGTGGCACGAGGGATCGCTGAATGCGATGCTGCTGAGCGCGAACTTGTCGAACGAGAGGCCGCTGTCGGCCGAGCTCTAGTGGACGGAGCCATGAGAGAGGTCTAGCAGAAAAATAAAAGCGCAGATATGTCGCTAATGTCCGCTATCAGCTCGTGTAACAGAAAGTGCACATCAAATAGTTGACTCTTCGAACGCGTGTTTGATTGATTTCAGCGTGACGCCTCGCGTCCGTCCCGTGATCGTGAACCGCGTGACAGCACCAATTTACGGTCACACCGCGTCGCGACGCGCCTGCCCCGGCACTCTCTCTTTCCCCGGCCACATAACACCCACACCTTCCTCCCAAAGACTCACTTTCCATCATGACAGTCCCCGTGTCATCCGAACCTGAGCGTCCCCATGACGAGCACCAGTACCTCTCCCTCATCCGCGCCGTCCTCGACACCGGCGAAGTCCGCCCAGACCGCACGGGCACCGGCACGCTCTCCATCTTCGCGCCGCCCTCCCTCCGCTTCTCCCTCACAGACAACAGGTTCCCCCTCCTCACCACCAAGCGCACCTTCTTTCGGGGGATCCTCGAGGAGCTCCTCTGGTTCATCCACGGCTCGACGGACTCGAAGCTGCTCTCCGCGAAGGGCATCAAGATTTGGGACGGCAACGGGAGCAAGGAGTTTCTTGAGAAGCGCGGGCTGGGCCATCGGAGGGAGGGGGATCTGGGCCCCGTGTATGGCTTCCAGTGGAGACACTTTGGCGCGCGGTACACGGATTGCGATGCGGACTATACGGGACAGGGCGTGGACCAGCTCGCAGAGTGCATTCGCAAAATCAAGGAAGAACCGACAGACAGGCGGATCATCCTGAGCGCATGGAACCCCGCAGGTGCGCTTTGTGCTTCGTGCAGCACGACCCGGCTAATCTTGTATAATCTACCCAGACATCCCGCTGATGGCACTCCCTCCCTGCCACGTCCTCTGCCAATTCTACGTCCACCTCCCACCTCCCGAGTCGCCAGATGCTCCCCGCCGACTCTCCTGTCTTCTCTACCAACGCTCCGCCGATCTCGGCCTCGGCATCCCCTTCAACATCGCCTCCTACGCCCTTCTCACACACCTTATCGCCCGTCTCACCCAAACGGAGCCACATGAGCTCATCATCCAGCTCGGCGATGCACACGTCTATCGAGACCACATTGACGCGCTGAAGGTGCAACTGGAGCGGACGCCGAGGCCCTTTCCCAAGCTGCGCTGGAACAGGGAACCTACGAATGTCGACGAGTTCAAGGCGGAGGATATCACTGTCGAGGGCTATGACCCCCACCCAGCGATTGCGATGAAGATGAGCGTTTGAGAGACACCGATCATTCTTGCTCCCTCTCTCCAACGTTCCTCAGTTTTGTCTGCCAGAACTTCTGTATCGATATGCGCCTCATACCCTTGCCGTGTATCTTTAATAGATTATTCGCGACTGACGTCAGTGCGCTTGATCATATTATACCTGTGAGTACGAGCGATCAACCTAGTGTGCGCCTTGTCGGCAATGAATCCAATTATTGGGCAATGTATTGTTATAGAGTTATGATGTACGGAATCTACAGGTGGCGATTATACTAAAAATAAAAGGAAAAAGTCCGTATCTATGTAATGGCTATGTCCTTTCCATGCGCAACCTCTCAGGCAATCATGAATCCACAGCCCAACACAAACAAAGCGATGAACACTGGCAGACTGAACAACCGCGCCATGAAGCCCTGCCCAGACATGATGCCGTATGAAGCGGACACAGCAGAAGACGCATGCGCCTCAAGCTTCGACGAGGAGGACACCGAGCCAGACGCAGATTGACTCGACGACACCGAGGTTGCGCTCATGCTCTTGCTCGCGCTCGAGCTGGAATTGGAACTCGAGCTCGACGACGTCAGGTAGATGCGAGCTGCGGCAAAGTCCCAATAAGCGTTCGAAAAAGCCGAGGGGTTGTTGTTGACGTAGTCTGCGCGACGGATAAGTGCGTTCCCCAGGTAGAGAAGGACACCACGACGTACCAGTGCAGTTACCCGGGCACCCCGCGGGATTGAATGCGTCGCCGGCCCAGTTACCACAGAACGTAAGGTCGATGATAATGTTATTGTCCCCAAAGACCTTACTGATATCGCAGTCGGTGTCTGGGAAGTCCGCAATCGGCTTGCCCTATATGCAATGCGACGGATCGTCAATACAACTAGGCCAGCCGTGCTTACGAACGAAACTCACCCAATTGTCGGTATTGATACTGCCCGATCCAGACGTGATGTCCGACGGGATGTTGGTGCCATTACGCGACCAGAACCACACGCGGATGAACTCCGCCGTGCGCTCCACGGCATAATATCCTCCTCCATAGGTGTTGAACGTGGGACCGTAGGACGACGTATATGGCGCGTTGACGGAACAGCCATTGTTACCATTTTCGATCTCATTGGACGAGCTGCAGTCGTTCGATAGTGAGGTTCTACGGTGGGTAGAGAGGTTAGGTCATCTGAGATGCTCCTTGATATCGCGAACACGCACCCAAGCATTGTGCGGTTGCTGGGCATGGTGCAAGTGCCCAAGGTATGCACCGTGACGCTATCCGGCTCGACATCGTTGACGCCCTCAAGAATGTCGATCTCGCCCGCAGCAGTGCCGACCGTGTCGTCCGCCTCCCACAATGCGGGCCATGTGGCACAACCCTCCGGCATGTGACGGATATCGAAGCTGTGATGGATCAGATTTCTGCACGATGGGAAACAAGAGCAGCAGCACTCACACAGCAACATGCGTGTTGTACTGCTCGTTGCTCTTGATTCGATTGCTCTTGCGTCCAGGACCGTCAGCGCTGAGCCTGGTGGTATCGTCCGCACGCATGACGAAGCTGTCACTCGTTGTGTAGGTCAGATTCTCGGCCAATGCGGTCTCCTGTGTGACATATTCCCTATGTATAAAACCATTAGATTGACACCGGTTAGTGGTGAATGCGACGTACACCCTTCCATTCGTTGGGTCACTGATGTTCTCCCACTGGAAGTTCGAGAGGAAGTCGGAGCCAATGTTGGTCTGATGAAGCACATACGGACCCGCGATCACAGATCGCGCGACTGAAAGAAGAAATAAGGCACGAGAGACAGACAAACAGCTGACTCCCATAGTGGTGGCTAGAAGAACGAAAATAGTATGTGGTGATGAAGAAAAGGGACGGAACAAAAGTAGGAAGGGAAAAGAAAGTGCCAGAAAAAATGAACATGGCGGCTTTTAAGGATGTCGCTGGCTGACTGTTGGCAGCCGCCAACCCAATCGATCGAAAGTGACAAAGTCAGGCCAGCAGACGGCGCTGACCTCACCGCCACGGCGAACGACGGCTCTCATTCGCTGGATATCAAGGCGGATGCACACGAGGGCAGTGAGGGCGGGAGAATACACACCACGGATGCTCCTGCGCTCCAGTTTTTGGCAAGGCGCCGCCGCGCAGTCGGCGGCTTGCCCGATTCGGAACGCGGATGCAGGGCGCGCCTCGTCACGTTACCGCGTCGCGCGCCGGCCACGTCCTGCGGCTTGATCGTCTTGCCCCTCGACCGTCTTGCACACTTGCTGTAATGTCAGATCGTGCAGGACGTTTTCCAAGCCTCCTTGACTAATTGCAAGCTAGACATAATCCCCTGAATTTTTGCATACGTTCATCACGTACGAGTTGGACAAGAAATCATGGTGTCAGCGATGAACCGACCACCAAAGTAGCGGCCCGGGCGACACGACTCACTACTGCTCTATGGCACCGCCGAAATATGCCGACCAACAGCTTATCTTCCCAGAATATCACTAACGCCGAGGATCCCTATCAGATTTCCCCGCAAAGTAAGCAACATCACAACAATAGTTCTCCGCTTCCCAGCCAGTGCTGTCATGAGACAAAGGTCGGTCTGGTAGTCTCCTCTGCCCACCTTCATCTCTGACACAACGATCATGCCTGTAGGACCAGCAGACGACAACGGCACCGTGCTCTACTACGAGGACAGCGGTGCCCCAGAAGGCTCCACCGACTATGTGACTCTCGTTCTAGTCCATGGGACAATGTTCCACGGCGGTACGCCCAACACACCTGCTACCACGCAAGAAGCTTTACTCATATGTTGTCAATGCCTGCAGCGATCTTCCGGCGCATGATCACGTTCGCATCTGCCTCCAACGTCCGGCTCGTCCTCATCAACCTGCGCGACTACCCCGGATCGACGCGCTACTCGCCAACGGAGCTCGACGCGCTCCGTTCCGCAGAGGTTGACGTACAGGCAGCTGCCATCCAGGAGCGAGGACTTGAGCTCGCTGCATTCGTCCGGTGGTTCATCGAGACGGAACAAATCCCACCCATCTCTGACGGGCCAGGTCCGGACACGAAACCAGCAGGAGGCTTTGTTCTCCTCGGATGGTCGTCAGGGAACTGCCAGACAGTTCCCGTTCTTGCACATGCTGACAAGGTACCAGTAGAGACGAGGAGACTTCTCGACTCGTACTTCCGTTCACTCGTGTTCTACGGTCCGTAGCCCTCTTGATCTTCACGTACTCCGTTGACTCTTCGCCTGCAGACACTTCCCGACATGCCATGGGCGCACAGCGCCTCGAGGGGCTCCACAGCCCCTTTCGGGACACGACCTTGACCGAAAAGCAAAAGATGGCCGCCTTCCCCGCCTGGGTGTCCTCCTATTTCACACAAGCGGATATCGGCGCAGACGAGGACGCCGACTCTCCCGGCTTCGCGGAGAAACTCCGCCAACGCAAACCCTTGCACGAAGGGCAGGCAGACGTCGACGCGAAGTGGACGCCGACGGTGCAGCGCATGACGCCCGAGGTGCTAGGGGAGGTGTCCGACTTTGACGTGCTGGAGCGCTCGCAGTCCCTGATCAATGAGTTTAACCTGGCGGTCTACGGGGAGAACGTCCGTCGCGCGCTGTTTGAGTGTCCCGTCGAGGAGGAAGGCGGGGAGACGAAGGTGATTTGGCCGAGGGTCAGAGCGCAAGTAGTGTGGTGCGACATGTCGACGAGCGATGGGGTTTTCGGTGCCAATAAGATCAAGGCTATAGCAAGGGAGTGGAGAGAGAAGCAGCAAGGGGGTCGGACCGTGGAGTTTTACAAGTTGGAGAAAGCGAATCATTTTGTGAGCATGCTCATGACTTGCGCGGACGGACTGGTCATTCATTTTCCTGTAGCTACATTGGGAAGAGCCAGAGAGGCTCGTCAAGTTCTTGGCCAGCATCGTGTGAGGATAAGACACGGTTCTGCTTGTACGAGGTAGCTCCTGCTCGATATAATGATTCTGCACTGAGCACCAGTCGCATGCTCGCTTCCGGAAGCGCATCTTGCACGCTATGACACTCATGAACGCTATTTCGAACTAAGAGAATGCCTAAATCCTCTTACATATACACACTTTGACTATGCCTTCTGAGCGATTCGTGCTGCTTCCCGCCCTGCATTCCTCCCAAAGACTGCACCTGCGGTCAAACCGCTCCCTCCCGGATAGTTTTTGTAAAACAGCCCTCCAACCAGCTCGCCAGTGCAGAACAGTCCTGGCATCGGCTTCCCGGTAAGCTCCGATATCACTCCCGCCGTCTCCGGGTCGATCGCCAGCCCGCCGAACGTGAACGTGATCCCGCACGCCACCTTCACTGCGAGGAAGGGTGGCTTCGTAAGTGGCAGTGCCCAATTAGACTTTGGTGGCTCGAGTGTATGACGAGAGGAGTGCGTGGAGAGACCATCCTTGATGGCGGGATCCCACTCGCGCCCTGGGGACTCAATTTGAGAGGTTTTCGTCGCAACATTGTACGTCATCACTGTGTCGAAAAACGCGGCAATATCCTCCAGACCATTCTCCGAGAGCTTTTCAGAGAGTTCCTGGATGCTCTCCGCCCAGAACTTCTCCACGATACCTTCGCCGTACTCCTCCTTCCTTAGCCAGTCCACGACCTGCGAGTCCCACACCTGGAACACGAACCCGCCGGGCTGGCGCAGGATCTCGGCGCCGAACTTTGCGTATGTGTAGTTGCGAAAGTCCTCGCCCTCGTCGACGAAACGCCGCCCGTGTGCATTCACCATTATGCCGAGCGGGTAGCCGGACTTGGTGAATTGGTTGCTGAGCACGCGGTCGCCGTGGTGAGAGGGCGCGTTCGCGTCCCAGCAAGTGGAGTGGCAGTGGGCGTAGTCGCCTGCGAGCTTGACCCCGAGTGTGCGAGCGAGCGATATGCCGTCGCCCGTGTTGTATGGCGTGCCGCGTACCTGTAGTGTGTCGGTATCAGTAGCTTAATTAAAGATCAAACACGGTACACACCTTCGCCTGTCGCCAGTGCAAACCGAGGTTCTTCTCGCGCTGCTCGATACTGGACTCGAAGCCTCCGCAGGCGAGGATCACCGCTTTAGCGTGAAGTGCAGTCCTCTGGCCGTCTCTGAGCACAACCAACCCCGTTACGCACTCTTCTTCACGTATGAGCTCAACGGCAGGCGTGTCGAACCATACCTCGACACCAGCTTGTTTCAGCGCCTGCTGGTGTGCGGCAATGAGACCCTTGCCTCCGTTGTCCACACTGAGTGCCAGGCCACCCCAAAAGACTTGTCTCCCCTGGACCAAGTACGCCTGGCGATTGAAAGCCACAGTGAAGGGGACCTTGACGGAATCTGCCAACCACTGTATTGCATCTCGCGAATCATCCACGACCGCTTTCACCAAGGCAGGATCGGACTGGCCGTCCCCCAACCGCATGATATCATTCGTGAATTCCTCGGCAGAGTACGGATGGATGTCGATGGTCGATGCCGCCTCCGCGGGGACATTTTTCACGATAGGCAGCAGATCCTGGAGGCCGCTGTGCACCGTCCGATGCGCTCCTGCGGTAAAGAACCCGTTGCCGCCGACCCACTCCTGGGGTGCCTTCTCGACAATCAAGACGCGCTTGCAACCTGCTTCGACGGCCGATAACGCTGCACAGCTGCCAGCGTGACCAGAGCCTACCACGATGCAGTCAAAGGTGCCATCCATGCCGGGTGAAGATGCAGGACCAGATGAGGAATCAGGTGTCCATTTATCGCAAGCTAGGAATGCCGAGGACTCTGCGAAGGTCATGAGACACCGCAGCCAACAGCTGACCTCCTTCGGTTATGATTTCGAGTCGGACAGCCGGACTTGCGAAGGCGAGCAGCATGGTCGAGGATAGCAAACGGCTTGTCCGCAGACGCCCGAGACTTGGGGCTATCGAATCTGTAGCTAGCAGCTCTTCCTCTTTCATTCACCGACGCAAGGAATTACCTCCGAGAAAGGCATTCTGCACTGTAATCGCTCAACGTCGGAATAATACGCCAGGGACCCTCGGCATTCAGAATGCTCATAGGAACAGAGGACGGGCCGGTCGTCCGCTACGCATTCGTATATTCTCCGAGTGTCTGAAGCAGCTATCGATTGTTTCAAGCTCACCACCTGGCACGCTCATCTCACTTTGAACGATTGTCAGCATGCCTTCCATGCGCCTCGACAAGCTGTTTGACCTGCAGGGCCGCATCGCTCTCGTCACGGGAGGTGGCACGGGGATCGGTTGGATGATCGCGGAGGGCCTTGCCGCGAATGGCGCAAAGGTTTATATCACCGGCAGGCGTAAGGAGGTGCTCGAGAAGGCCGCTGCCTCCTTCAACCAGAGTAATCAAGGAAATGGATCTATAGTACCGTAAGTGATGTCAGTAGATGACGGGAGCATGCTATAGACTAAGTGGCGCCGAATAGCATGGTCATGGATGTTACAGATCGCAAGAGCATTTCAGCTGGCCAAGAGGTCATCGCATCCAAAGAAGGAAGACTGCATATTATGGTCAACAAGTGAGACGTTGCGTCAAGAATACACGCACGCTTAGCTTGACATTAATGCACGCAACACAGCGCAGGACAGACAGGGCCCGTATCGAAGTTTCTAGAGGATCCCAATGCGCCTGAGCAGAAAGATCCTGAGACACTCGGACGAGCCATGTTCAACAACGAGTCGTTTGAGGAATGGACAGGAATATACAGCATCAATGCGTTCTCTATATACTTTGTGACCACCGCATTCCTCGGATTGTTGGCGAAAGGGAGCGCAGACATCCCTGGGTACACATCGTCCGTCATTAACATTACAAGCATCAGCGGAATTATCAAGCTCTCTCAAAATCACGTCGGTGTCAAAATGTCTATCCTCTATGCTCCCTGGATGTCAGACGCTCACGACCGTGACTCCACATTCAGTTCGGGTACAATAGTTCAAAGGCAGCAGCTTCACACCTGACAAAGATGCTCGCAACCGAGTTGGCATTGAAGAAGATTCCCGTGCGCGTCTGTAGCATCGCACCTGGTGTCTACGAGTCGGGCATGACATACGACAAGATCACAGAAGACAAAGTAGACATCGTCGGTAAAGGACTGATTCCTGTACCGGAGAGGAGGCCGGGGTCGTAAGTGCCTTCGGTAATTCCACGTATAACAGTGATTGACGGAACACTCTGCTATCCAGAGCGCAGGAGATAGCGGGCACAGTCATTTATCTGGCCTCTCCTGCTGGCTGCTACACGAACGGCCAGGAAATCGCTGTAGATGGTGGATATACCGCTGTGAACCCATCCGTCCGGTGATGAACGGCGGACTGCTTGTCAAACTAGGTCTTTTCCGGGATCTCCTGTCAATGTGAAGACCTTGTGTATCGCGATAAATGAATCTGTACAGTAGGCATTAACAGGACTATGTTGTATCGTAAAAGTGTACATCAGTGATAGCTTGTACAGGTGGTCGTGAACGTCATGAGAGTTTTTTTGAACGTGTCGTCTGTAGGTTCATGGTGGGTAGTGCTACAATGTGTACTATCACGTCTGACCATAAGTCCACAACTTGATGGTGACTCCATAAGGCCTCAGCCTCCGCAGAGCCGCAAAGTCTACGCCATCGCACTCCCGTATGTACAGTGCAATCGCTCCTACTCCAGAGCGAGATTGAACAACTCGAATGAGATCGTCAGCCAAAAGGCTATCGCACCGTACGAGCTCCAAGAGCTTCAAATAGACAGTCGTTCCACCGTTGATACGTCTTCTGGAGACCGTCTCTGCCAATCCCGAGAGAAAGGGTTCGGTCACGCGTGGTCCGTGCAAACATAGATGCTCCAGACGTGGCAGGCCGAGAAGCAAGGGAAAGACGAAGTGTGTATCCAACCAGCCGTGTTCGAGATAGAGGTAGTCGACCGAGGGCATCGGCGGGAGGTCTCGTAGGACATAGTGGAGGCGAGGGAAGATGGTCGGCCTGCGGAACGGGTAGCGGGACCGCAAGCGCAGGATACGAACAGCCGGTAGAGATAACCGGGAGAGGACCAGCCACAAAGCGCATGGGATGTCGGGTCCTTCGACACTGATGGTAAGGGTATGCAATTGTGCCAGGCTGACCGATCGTGGTGCCGGGGTGGGATAGCGTGCGATGCTGTCTCCACGCCACGGAAATGCAATCCGGAGCTCCTGGAGATGGCAAGAAACCTGAAGCATGTTGAGCACCTCGGCGGCAGCCTCGAGGCTGCGCGTGAAGCCGTGGTGGGTGTAGTCGAGAAAGACGAGATTCTCGAAGAGCGACGGAAGCCATGCGAGGCGGATACCACAAAGCGTCGCTCGGCGCAATCTAGGTGCGACACCGTTGAATAAGACGAATTCTGTCGAGTCGTCATTGCCTCGATATACGAGGGTGAGTTCTTGCAGGAATGGAGCCTGGGCTTCAGGCGTATCTCTGCAGGCAGACAAAGCTGCATTCCACAGGTGGGGCGCATAAGTGTCGAACCTAACCTCAAACGAACGCCACCGGTGTATTAGAGGGTCCACTAATTGCATGTAGTACTGCACCACGCGAGCATCGTGCGAAGGTACGCGATTAAACCCATTCGAGGGCAGTGGAGGAGGGAGAAGCTCGATATCCAGCGTGCATGTCTTTGAGCGATGAATACGTCGTGCCCATAGGTGCAAGCGGTGGTCCAGGGTGATACGCCTCCAAAGCGCAGGTGTATGTAGCGCTAGACAACGCCATGCTCTGCATACGTGCGATAAAACCATGGGTAGCATGACGTCGTCTTCAGCGCCCAAAACGAAAATGTGGGCAACGAGTTCATTCGGCAATCGGCGTATGGGATGAGATCTGGAAAGAGCTTGATCCCAATGCGTATGCGTCTCCCGCGATCGGCTACGCTTCTCTGAGTTAAATGTATCTTCATTAACGCGAGCATTTTGACTGTCCTCACGGCAACTTACCGTCACGCGAAGTTCGTCTGCGGCTGGTATTCACAGCGTGAGCGCAACGATATGTGATAATCAGATAGGAGTACTCACCGGAAGGTGTAGAGTGACTTGAGAACATCCATTAATGACCTACTGAACTCGTTTCGTCGGTATCTCTTCCAGGTGAAGACCATGGTGGTCGTTCGTGGGCAAGATACGAGTGCACAGCATAGACATACAGGGAGCTCTTGAGGGGCACATCTGCACTGCTAGGGGTGAAACTGAGCAAAAAAGAGCCTGCTCTATGGCATCGGCTGAATACGCGGGCTGAAGAATATCATTCAGGAGGTGGCAGACGATCAGCCGGGATTATCGCTACGTCCGGGTCCATAAAGATGAAGACAAAAACGGACACCCGAGACCGCACAGCTGCAGGCAAAGAACCTGAGACGTGACACCGCATGAGCAAGGAAGCGCAGACTAACCGAGCATTTTGCCTCTCCCACTCTGAGCTGGCCTGATTTGGATGAGTGAGGTTGACGTGACCCGACCGTAAGCACACCCACACGACCTTGGCGGCGTGTAGATTGGTTTCATATGCGCAGCCTCCTGTACAATACCTCATATCCGCAGCTGAGCTATATCATGCGTATTGTTGGTAAGAGCAAGCTGTACGTCTCGGGGTCAGACGACCAACACCGCTCTCAATAAGGCAGGTGCTCTTGTTCTCTTGCACTCGACAGCTGTAATCCTTCACAAATTCCCTTGAAATCTTACGTCTCGCGTTCGAGACAGCGCATCAGCACATGCCTATCGATTCTATCCGGAATGAGCGAGAACGCAATCGGTCCCGAGTAATTCAGCATGTCTTTGAGCGCTCAGAAGGACTCCACAACTTCACACATGATAAATTGATTGCGTCCGATAGCATTAGAGAATTGCTTGAATTCGGATTCCAATCGATCGATGTTCAAGCTGAGGACTGCGCATTCGCCACAGAGCTTGAGTAGCGTCAATGACATCGGCACGATCGTCCAGAGGTGCACATACCACAACATCGTCACTGGCAGGATCCACAGACAGCAGACGCATAACTCTTTTCCGCATCCGACAGCAGGGGCACCATGACATTGTGAGATTATCTTATATATCGGAACGCATCTACGGGCATCAGGCATTCTTCATTTAGTCATCGCGTGCTGCATAGAACGTTCATGATCAACGTACAAGTCTGTAGAATTCCGCCACCAGATAGAGGCTGCCTGCAACGACTATCAGCCCATCTGCCCCAGTATTTGCATGTCTATCCAATGCCCACAGCATTGCAGTGCGAAACTGGTCGAAAGGAGCAGCCTCTGCATTGGAGGCCCATACTTCTGTGTCAGGAGCTTGTGCAAAAACAGTCGTACGCATAACTTCAATAGGCTCGGCCCGAACCCATGGCATCCCCGCCGGTTGAGAGAATGTCACCAAAGCGACGCCGATCTTGATATCACGGGACAAGGCGAGTAACGGAGCGAGTGTTTGCGCAGGAGTCTTCGGAGGAGAGTGTGATAGCGCAAGGATGTACGTGACTATGCGAGGGCGCAACTGCGCGATGTACGCGGCGAGAGTACGTGCAGAGGCTGGATTGTGAGCGCCGTCGACCAGCACGTACTGTTGTCGTCCCGGAAGCTTGTGGAATGACAGTCTGCCAGGCCATGTCGTCTCTTTGATTCCACGCGTCACGCTGTCTGGAGCTATGTGTGCGCGCCAAGGTACATGCGAGTGTGTACAAATGGCAGAGATGACACCAAGCGCTGTCCCGAGGTTGGCGAGCTGATGCTCACCGTACAAGGGAAGGAGAGCATGAAGAGTCTCGGGAAAACACGCGATCGCTGCCTCAACTGGCTGAGGAGGAGGAGGCAATGGCGCTGAAGGGAGAGGACCATCGGGTACTTCATCCCAATCACGCAGAGTCACTGTAGGCGCAAGCAATACATCGCCTCCAGCCTGACCGACGACTTCGCGAACAACGGACTCCACTTCAGCATGCGCCTGCTGTCCAAGAACGAATGGCCGCCCTTTCCGCGCAATCGCCGCCTTTTCCCGCGCGATCGCGCCGATGGTCTCTCCCAGGAACGACTGATGGTCCAGGTCCACTTCTGTCATAGCTGATACGAGTACCGTTTCATCCGGAATGACGTTCGTCGCGTCCAGCCGTCCGCCCATGCCCACTTCTGCCACAACTATGTCGGCCCTGACAGTCTCGAAGATGTGAAGCGCAGTGCATGTGAGGAGCTCGAAGCTACTTGCTCCAATGCTGTGATTCGCATCTGTCTCCTCTACGCGCGATCGGGCAGCGTTGTACATTTCAGGAGAGACTGGCGAGTTGTTCAGCGTGATACAGTCGTGCACCGTAACCAGGTGTGGGCTGTTGAAGCGGCCGACCAGAAACGTGGGAGAAGGTGCGGAAGCACGGAGAATCGATGAGACCAAGGCGGATACGCTGCCTTTGCCATTGGTACCCGTTATGTGACACGTAGGGCGGGTGTAAGGAGGCAGCAGAGCCTGTAGTTTGCGGACACGATCGAGCGAGAGGTCAATTGACATGCTGCGAGTCGCGTGCCTGAGACTGGAGGAGGTTGACACTCTTCTAGCTGGGTGAGAACAAAATTTCGACCATGTCTGCGTGGGATTCAGCAAAGATAGCTTAGCAAGGATTTTACTGTAATAGATACAGAGAGGACACTGACCATCGGTAGAACATTGCCGTTGTCTGATCGTCGTGCGCGAGTCAGCGCGCACGACGAGGACGAGAGTCCAGAGCAGGATCTTCCCTCGAGTGACGAGTCGGAGATCAGACTATTTCTTTTGTCAGATGAAGTAAGTCTATCGGAGTTGCATTCAGCCTCAAGCCAGAGCTTGTCGGAGCGCGAAAGAAGCTTTTCCGTTCTAATTATGGGCGGCAGTTACCGTGCTTTCCACCATCACGATGGCTGCTCCTCAGCGTAGAGTCCAGCCTCCGGTCCAGCAGTACTACGCCGTCCCTCAGAGCCCCCAAAACGCCCTTCGTTCTCAATACTCGCTTCCACCGCAGCCAATGCCCCAGCCCACACCCCAACCACAGGCGTCAAGCAGCTACGACTCTCGGACGAATCCGAATAACAATGATACGACTTACGGCGTCGCAACTGGCGCAATTGGTGGAGGATATGGTCCATATTCTGTGAGTATAGCTAGGTTTGGGGGATCGCTGCATCTACTGAGCTCTACCGCCGCACACAACACAGTTCAATCCCGCCGTGGCCAATAGCAATGGCCGGTACGGCTCTTCTCGCTTTAGCGCCGCCGTCTCGGAGACGTCAGTGGGCACTGGTGGCGATCTAACGGTGAATACAACGACACCAATCATCGGGTCGTCGACCGTTCAGACGTATCCGTATATGTGGGACACCAAGGACCCCGACCTCGATGACGCGTTGCACAACCCAGATCCCATCCGTGACGCGGCGATGGAGCGTAGTTGTACGGTTTTCTCTGCGCGTGGCTGGTTGAATATGTCAGCACTAGTCATTCTGGTGCTGGCGCTCCTTACCCTCTTCGCGGGATACCCCATAATCGCCTATTACGCTTATCCGACTTTGAAGTCATCAGGGTATAACCTTGGTGGAATCAACGGCTCCGGACAAGTGCCAAAACTCAATATACCTACGTTGATTGACAAAGACACTCCGTCAACAGCCAAATCATGGACATCGCCAGAAGGGACAAAATACTCCTTAGTATTTAGCGACGAGTTCGAGACCGACGGGCGTACTTTCTGGTCGGGAGATGACCCGTTTTGGGAGGCAGTGGATTTCAACTATTGGCCAACCGGTGATTTAGAATGGTATACGCCAACGGTGAGCATAGTTAAAAATAACTGGTATGCGCGATACTGAACACGCCGCAGCAAGTGACAACGGAAGGCGGAAAACTGGTACTCACGATGGAAGAAGTAGAAAATCACAATCTTAACTTCCGAAGCGCTATGCTTCAATCATGGAACAAGTTCTGTTTCACGACCGGATATATCGAGGTGTCTGTCAGTGTGCCTGGGTCCCCTATGGCACCTGGGTTCTGGCCAGCTATTTGGACGATGGGCAATCTGGTATGTCAGCACGTGCTTTAACGTTCACTTCTGCTCACGTTTCGTTCAGGGCCGCGCTGGATATGGAGCGACAACTCAAGGAACATGGCCCTTCTCGTACGACAGCTGCGATGTTGGAACATTCCCGAATCAGACGTACTCGAACAACACGCCGACTGCGGCGGAGGGCCTGAGTTTCCAGCCGGGGCAGAAGCTGTCGGCTTGCACCTGCGAAGGTGGCGACCATCCAGGGCCGTCAGTCAATGTCGGACGGGGCGTTCCGGAAATCGATGTCTTTGAGGCTCAGGTTGACGTCAGTGTATGGCGAGGACAAGTGTCGCAGAGTATGCAAATCGCACCGTACAACTACGACTATGAATTTGACAACTCAAGCTCTGTCACCACCATATACGACAGCGATATCACTTCCCTGAATAGCTACAAGGGTGGCCAATACCAGCAGGCGGTCTCGGCAGTCACGTACATCAATAGCTCTGTCTACAACAACAGCGAGTATTCAATCTACGGCTACGAATGGTACTCGAATCCAAAGGCCCGCTCTGATGGATTCATCAAATGGTACAGTAGCGGAGAGGAGTCGTGGCAGGTCACCGCTGGCTCGATTGCGGCGGATGAGACCGTGGAGATTAGCGATCGGTTGATCCCAGAAGAGCCCATGGTATGCCATATTTCTTCAACACATGCTCCTGTGTCTGAAGACTTCCATCGTTATAGTATATCGTCATGAATTTTGGCATGTCTCGTAAGTCCGCGGCCCGTTGTAACCATATCCTGTTTTCTGACGGTGTTTTCAGCTGGCTTCCAAGCGCAAGACTGGATGCACTTGGAGTTCCCTGCAAAGATGTACATTGACTATATTCGTGTATATCAGCAAGACGGTGTGACGGATGGCACGACGTGCAATCCACCAAGCTATCCGACAACGGATTATATCAATGAGTGAGGCATTTCGTGTCCTTCGTGCGGACATAACTGATCGCGTAATCATTCTTTTAGCCATCTGAACGCGTATTCAGATGCGAACCTCACGACATGGGCACAGGCTGGATATGATTTCCCGGCCAATTCGCTGTACAATGGGTGCTGATGTGAATGACGACCGGTCTCGTCTACTTCCAGTCATCTTGAGCCAAATTCTACCCTGTTGTGACTGTAATGTTGTGCATCGTGCATGCGCTCAGCTTCATTTGTGACGATTACGCACATCTATACCGTGGACATTTATTCTACCACCTACTACCCACTATTGTCTCCCTACTCGACCCCTCATGGGGCATGGACACACGGACTGATACAAGTCCTTGCACGGTACATGCTTGCTTCGTCGATACTGCAGTCTCGTTAGCTATCCTTCTTCGGCTGTCGTTGTGGTGGGTGGGCCCGACCGCCTAGTAGCCTATGTAGTGTATATGCATAGCTATTAGACACTTTGTCCTGCTGCTTTCTCGTATAGACTTATTGCCAAAGCTAAAGGGTTGTCGAGCGGCCTCGAAGACCTGCCAAATATGGCAGACTCTTCACCGGCGCTAAGTGGCGGCAGATTGTGGCGGTCGCACTCAGGGTGGCTCGCAGCCTCCATGCTACTCCCGCCCTCTCACTCTTGTCTCGTTGACACTCTAAGGAGCATAGGATGACTGGTATACGACGCGATGAGCGGGACCAACTCAAGGTCATTAACGGACTAGGAATCAGCTCACGAGACGGGCCAGGCTCAGCCACACAAACTCGGACGTGCGCATATCTTCTCCTCGAGCTAGGATCCATCTTCACGCCAGAGTTATCATCTTCGCAATAGGCAATGGCCAAACACGGCTCCAGTGCCAGTCAAAGTACCGGTCCAAAATCCTTATGGCGCCGGACGGATGAGGGACAACTTGCAGAGCTCGAACCGAAGAAATAATCGCACTGCTAGTACAACTATCCTGGGCCCGCTATCGCGTAGCATCCGGGATTCTCCCTCATCAGGTCATCCTAATAAACGCCCGAGGCTTTCTGAAGACTCAGAGTTCGTCTTCACCTCTAGAGAATTCTCAACAGGTAAGCGGTTCGTAGTCTATGTCTTCAATGGAAAGTACTGATGAACGATGTCCCAATTTCGCACCAATTGTGTCACTAAGAGAAACGTATGCACTCCGCTGCTCACGGCATGAAGCCCTTACCATCGATAACGGGACAGTTCCGAATTCCTTCCAGTAAGTGTAATTCAAGCACGGGATCTGTAGGTCGTAAGGAAATCCTACACGAGGCTTGATGGGTACTACAATCCCGATTAATGTTGCTGACAATTCTTAACGCAGAACCGTCTACGACATCCACCCCAGCAGCCAGTAGGATACGCGGTGCGACTGCTAGTAGCTCAGAACCTATCGTCATAGTGGATGACGATGCCGATATTCAAGCTCCCAAGCAATCTCCCATGAAACAATCAGAAAGATGCTTCTCTCGTACTCCCAGTCCTGATCCGATCGACTCTTTTCCAATCCGGGAGCCTTCTCGCTTGCAGAGACGGAATTCCCCACCTCACGCATTTGAGGCCGGCCCTTCTAATCCAGAATCTCATCGATTAGCTGACGATGGAGAGTCGACAAAGCGTTTGCGGGAACGTCTGTTCGCGGCGCCATCGGCTGATATCATTGATGTTGATGCTCCTGGTGTTCCCGAAGACGACGAGCTTGATTCAATCCGCTCTTTCTCGGAACACACTCCCCCCAAGGCATCTCATCCAATAGTGGTACCAGATACGAAGTCCTTGCCACCGCATCGTGTCGTCAAGGAACGTGTAGCGGCGTTCGAGCAGAAAACTCGTGTTAAGACTCCGTACATCGATCTAAACGCTCAGAACAGCAAAGGTCCGACAAGGAAGAGTGCCATGAAGCCCAAGGGCGGAAAGGTACGTACGATCGCCCTGCTTGCAGACAATCTCTACATTGGTCTCGGACAGTCAGGGACTGTCACACAAAGCAGTATGCTGGACCATATGACCATGCTTCCGTCAGGCTTCGTACACTCGAGTTCTACAAAGTCTCCGAAAAGGACTGTCAAGACAGCTGAGCGATTGCGCGATGAATTTGTCGTACTTCCTCTCGAGGCGTGGACATTGGGACGCACTCTCATACAAGACTGGGACGAAGACGTTCATTATCCAAGGTACTGGTTGGTCTACACTGAGCGCCCAAATCCGGTACTTCGAATCACAGACACTCAGAATTCGTCAACCCCACTCAATGGTGCTGTCATGGAAGAGATCAAGGTGGGAAATGGCGTTGAAAAGCTATGTGTATGTCCTCGCCTTGACTGTAGTTATGACAATTGCCGATCACTGTGACCGGCAGTATACGATGACGCCTTGCGATATTCACAATACTGTTGTATTGCAATTTAAGTCGCGCCGTCACCAGACCACGAATACCGAGGCTCGATACGTTCCAGGTATGTCAGATAGAATGATATACCGGCCGGCCTCCCACTATGATTACAGGTTCTGCTGGAGCGGATGGTAGCATCATGTTCAAGTTTTTGACGAAGCACGCAAACTGGGAAAATGGCACGCCATATGCGCACCTCGTGAAAGTCATGGAAAAGATGTCTACTGGCTGCGAAGTACGAATGGTAGAGTATGATTACGAGTTCCCCTCACCTCTGTCGGAGTCTGGCACTGAGTGGATGTATGCAGTGCCCACGGTTCAAAACGGGTCTGGGAAGCACAAATGAATGCCGTAGAATTTCCAGATGGCTTAACGGATAAGCTGCAGCATGTTGACATTCAAGAGCAATCCGGAGCGAATGTTGGACCTACCGAGTACGTTCTCTCATAACATGCCTCATAGCTTCCTGACTGAGTGAGTATTAGCAGCAGCATTCCTGTAGCCAAGGAGAGCGAAGGCCCCGTAACACGACGGTCAACTCGTACGGCTGCTTCTGAGAGTTCGTCGCCAGCACCTGACGAACTGTGAGCCCTGGTCGTAGCCAGGCTCGTCACTTGCTGAACCATCTCTTAGAATCCTAGTATACCCTCCCTCAGGTGTAGGCGCCATCAACATCAACAAAAGTGACCTCAAACGGCTTGATCCCGATGGGTATCTAAACGACACGTTAATCGAGTTCGGCTTGAAGTGAGTGCTTTCTGTTGTTCGCATCCGCGCCTTGCTGAATTCATGTAGACTATGGCTGGCGGACCTGACCAAGAGCAATCCTGATCTCGCCGAGCAAATCCATGTCTTCAATTCATTCTTCTACAAGAAGCTGAATGTCAAAGAGTAGGTATAATTAGTGCTGTTCTGCTGGTGTGCTAATGTGCGTGCGGTAGTAAGGACGAGGGATACCAGAGCGTGCGGAAGTGGACATCGAAGTTTGATATCTTCAAGAAGAAATTTATCATTGTACCGATCAATGAGCGGTTAGTTCCAGGACAGCGCACTCTCTAGATTGGTCTTAACGAACATCACTCTAGATTTCACTGGTATCTAGCGATCATATACCATCCAGAACACGTTCTCCTTCCTCCACTGAATCCCACGGTAATTTTGAAGCCCATGACGCGTAAGCGCAAGCGTCAAGAGGAGCCTGAAGAGTTGATGCCGACGGAGACCGCCGCCGTAGTTGGTAGCAAGTTTCAATCGCCTGATCACGAGATCATACCGGATTCCTGCCCTCCTTCTCGAGGCGGCAGCCCGGTGGCAGATAGCGAAGGCGAGCGGGAGGTTGAGTCTCTCCTTGAGCGCACCCGATCTTGTTCCCTTGAAGACCAGCCAATGGCTGATGAAGAAGACGTTGCTGGTGCTGCCGCGGCGTCAATGGGCGAAATGATTGATTTGGAATTGCAATATCCTGCATCACCTCAAGAATGTCTCCAGCAAATAGAAGTAGACTCGGATACACCGCATCCGGAAGAAGCGAATCAGCCAACCAGTTTTGAGAGTGCTGACGGCGCACAAATCAAACAACGAGAGCATGTGGTCGATGCAAATGCCGATATCATGGCAAGTGTTGGCCCTGCTACATTCTATGGCAATTCCTCTGCGTCTTCCTCTGCACGTAAAGGGGTTAGGACTCCAACACCAACTCAGTTCATTGTGGACGACGATAATGCTAATGCGCCGGAAGACGAAGTTATGTCGAGGACATCCGATGAAAGTTCTCAACAGTGAGTAGGCGGTCACTACTTGCACCTATCATAATTGCTGACCGAGATGACGCTACGCAGCACATATATCTTCACCTTCGATTCCCTCGGCACGAGGCATCCGCAGGCTATCAAGACCCTCACGCAGTATTTGCAGATGGAGGCGAGGGACAAGAAGGGAATCGAGGTTACGCGCGAGGTGATGGGTCGGAATGCTCTGGTAAGTATCGTTGCAAAGCCTCTAGACGCTGCCTTAACAGTTCTGCTCCTAGGTTCCTATGCAACCAAATTACTGGGACTGCGGTATCTACGTGCTACACTTTGTCCGCATGTTCCTCAGCGATCCGGATGCATACTTTCAACTCATCACGGTAGGGCCAACCACTATTGTCCAGTCGACTCAGCAGCTCATGAATGTCATCGCGTAGGCTTTCACCAAGCAGAAGGACTACTCTGCGGAAGAGCGGGCGGAACATTGGAAGGCCAGCCATGTCAATGTCAAGAGGATCCGGGAGGAGCTCAAGGAACGTATCGCGGAGCTGTCGGAAACATGGAAGAGTGATCGAGCGCTGCGGGAGGAGCAGCGGAAGAGGGAGGCAGAGGCATCTGCTGCGTCTCTGTCGGACGAGGACGAGGTGATCATAGAAGACGTCACACATCGGAAGGCTAAGTCTCATGGCAAGGGTCGAGCCTCATAGTGCTGCATAAGAGCACTGGATGGTCGTGTTGCTCGTTGCTTTCATGTCGCGCACGCTGATTGCTCTCTGCATCTCATCAGCAACTCTTCGCGGATGATCTTACTTATTCCCCTCAATTGCTGTACATTATACATGGTTCTGCACTATCACGCTCTCCCTCGTTCACGTATCTTTATTGCTGTTCGTCTGTTTGATCGCATCGCGTTTGCATCGCTCACGATCGGTGGCCTGTGATAGATAGCGTCCTTACGGACCTTATGCTCCCTTCCTCGTTGTTCATAGCGCTTTCGCGTCTGGGATGCTGCTTCAAGTTGTTGAACAGGCCGATTTGTGTGAACAACCCGACCGTTGTACGAAAGCAACACCGCAGGAATACATAGACTACTAAGCGTATACAACGACATACACTAAATCCGAACAGGACAACCCTCCCAAGAACAAGCATCCTCTACGGGATGTTCATCCGGCATACCGTGCCCCCGCCCGTATGCCCGTCAAACACGAAAAAGTTGACGATCGGCGACTCGCGCGCCGCAAGCGCCTTGAGCATATCCTGCGCGAGCATCCCGCCGACGACTGCACACACCGGGGACATCTCATGCGACGCCGTCACCGCCATCGTCCTGCGCATCCAAACAAGTCGTGCGATGAGCTCAGCATGAGGATGATGAGGGATCGCGGTCGCACGTACTCTACAAGCTCCTTTGGAATGGAGGGCATCGCCTGTTTGTTCACGTCCGCTTGAGATAGGAGCGTATTCGCCATCTGCTCAAGCACAGCGGCCTCGCCCGCGTCGTGCGGGAGGACGCCCTTGTGCTGCGCCTGGTACTCCCACAGCGCTACAAACGAAGTGCTCAGCAGCACGCACCAGAAGGAGCCGCGTGGCACTCACCGAGAATCACGAAGGTGGCGGCGGGGTTGAGCTCGCGTGTCTGGCGGCGCGTGAGCCCTGTCCACCGGTGGCCGAGAGCGGCCCGCAGGCGGCAATACGTCGTCGTGTACTTCACGTTTTTCGCGGTGTCTTTTGACGCGGTACGGTCACTAAGCGGTGTGAGCGCGCGAAGCCCGTGTCGGAGTTGGAGACGATGTAGGACGTAAAAGAATGCATGCACGCGGGTAGGCAGGCGACCAATCAGTACGTCAGCGCGAAATAAGCTAGCGGTGCAACGTACGGCGCGATATAGTCGTGCGTGAGCAGATCGCAGAAGATGTACCCCAGCAGGCCGTACGTGCCCCCCGCATAGAACGGCTTCTGGGAGCGGCGGCACGCGCCATTCACACGGATCTGGCTGCGAGGGTTAGTGCGCTGGCCCGCAGGCGGGGGTCCGTCCGGGGACTTACCAAGGTTTCGCGGTCCGAGTCTGTGACGCACACCATGTCCACGTCCCGCACGAGCGCGTCGAGTGCGTCGCCCTCGAGCGCAGGCGCGGCGGAGATGGTCTCTACGGTGACGAGGGGGTTCAGGCTCTCGATCCTCGCCTTGGCGGCCTCTGCTTTCTGACATGGCGCAGTACGTCAGCATGCTAGAAGGTCCGGAGCAGCAGAAGAACACGGGAAACGCCGCTGGCCAATAAGCATGCGCGAACTTGTCCGGAGATTGGTGGTATCCCATAATTGCCCTTCTAGGACTGCTTGATGGCCCGCCACACGCAGGACGTGAAACCGCAGCGCATGATCAGGTGGTGTGAGGCACCGGTGATTATGGATATCATTCCCCAGGGGTACGCTTCGCCAATTCACTACTGCGAAGCGTCACGCTGCGACGTAGCACGGCGGAGTTGGGAACGCGCAGAACGGACGGACAATGAGACGAGCAGAAATGCGGCGTTCGAGCGGATAGAGCGTTGTTCCGGGCCATGCATGGGATCCCGTCGCGGACGGGAATATCCTCGTGCACAAGCCTGGGTGTGCGCGCAAATGGCTCCTACGGCGCTGGTGCTGCAGGAGTGCACCAACGGGCCAGGTGAAGGGCGATGCACGGATTATGCCGCGTTACTCACCTTCTTGCCAACATCGTCATCGCGGAAGAAAAAGCCCGCGCCGAGATCTTCCTCCGCGACTAGGTCGCCGTCAACGAGGACGAGCTTGCCAATCCCGGCCAGGACGATGTTTTTGATCGCCTCCGTCGCGACGCCTCGCAGGCGGACAACCAAGATGGTCGCATTGCGCATCCTGGCGAGGGATAGTGATCAATGATCTTGAGTGCCCGCGCGATCACGCGTTCCACCAGAGTACAAGGACGGGCCATGGGAGATGCTGACCTCTGCTGGGCCTCAAGCCCCCACAAGCGGATCTGCCGGTCATACACGGCCGCTTCGTCTGCATTGATAGCGTAGCGCGTTCCAGATCAGAACGCAGGTAAACACACGCGACTGAATGGCTTTCGAAGCCGCACCTTCAGTGATTTGGAGCGGAATACTCTTCGTGCTGGGGTCCGATGTAGCCATGGTGGGAGCGTCGCACGTAAAATGATGCGAGATTATCGCAAATGGAGAAAATAACCAGATGGATGGCTCGAGGAGGCCGGCTGAGAGCACACGAGATTGACGTTCGAGATGGACGTTACAAAGGTGGCAAGGATGAGATTCTTCCAGGCGCGCCTCCTACGCGTCGCGCGGAATGCCGAACGTGTGCATAATCGCATAATTGAACGAAGAGACACAACAAAAGCAACTCGATAGCAATGTGCGCTGGATATAGTATACACCATACAGTATCGGCAATCATCCACAGCTCGGACGACCATTATGAATACAGTAGCAAACTACATCGATCAATAGACCAGCACTAGACCATATTCGACACACGACGAACACGCACCGGGCCCAATCACGGAACTCACATTATGGCCAACGTGGAGAACGTACTTAATCATTAGCAAAACCAGCATGCACTCTCCGAGCGGGTGGCCGCGCCAACACGCTCAAGCCCCGTTCATGAGAGGCATGCCGTCCCCGTTGGACCCAGCGTCTCGATCATCATCAAGCCTGCACACGTAAAAATGTCACCAGATCAATTAATCCGCTATTTTGGAACACGACAACAGGCAGCCTTTCAGACAATGAGCCTGACTTACAAATAGTTTCGTTCGATTTCTGAAAGGATCGACAGGAAATCCCCTGCAGAACGGAATCAGTCACAGGCAGTGGTCGATAGCGTAGTTGTGCAATACGTACAGAGGTAGCCATGCGCACGCGCCGCCGATATTGGCGCCGTCTCTGCCTGGCGCACTGCATCCAGTAGCGTGGATGCCACAAATCGCACCTTGTGCACCTATAGATAGACGATTGCGTACTCAACGCTAATGTTCTATATATACAGAAAGGTCACTCACCAACGACGGGCCGTTCGTCGCAATACTCTGGATCGGTATGCTAATAATAGTAGCATGAGTCGCTGCATGCACACGTGATCAAAGAGACTTACCTATGCAAGATACTGAGCAGCTCGCTCGCAACGGCCTCGCGCTCTTTTGATACGCGATGCTCATCGATACTACCCTGTAGCGACGTGATGAGCTCGTCGCGATATTGCTCGATCACAAATCGCACGAGTTGCTGTAACCGCGGTCAATGCCAGCCTCATCGCACCCCAACAGTAGAATGGCACACACCTGCGTCACATACACGTTCGCTTGCATCACCAAGAACGGATTAAGAGCATTCGCGCGCGACGCGTTCGGGTTATCGAAGAAGTCCTTGACTTCCGCAAACGTCGCTTGCCTGAATCCCGCACCGCCATACTCCCTTCCGCCATTCGCGCCCAGCCCCAATCCCAGTCCATCGTTCACTCGCTTGAGCCGAAGGGGCTCCGGCGCATGTGTCAATGCAGCCATGATCCGCGCATGCAAGGCCTGCACCTCCTCCAAGCGTGCCGTCAAGAATTGGCCTTGCGGCGGCGAGCGCTTATCGACACGGACCCGCACGAGGATCTCCCCAAGGAGCGCAAAGATGCGGGAGATGTAGTTGAGCCCGGAAACAATCGCTGTCTTGCCATGTGGCTGGGGGAGATACGCGCTCGGAGTGATGCTGAAAGCCGGTGAGATGCGGGTGCGTGAATGACATAATTACGGCATGCGGAGACGGAGTTGAAGGTGGGAGGTTAACGCGGGAGAAGCAACCAAGGGAAAGAAGAAGGTGGGATAATCATTTGAAGAGCAGCATGAGGAGAGGGAAGATAGAAGTGAGGGACGATGTGGGTTTGAGGTGGGCAAAGAAGTAGAATACACCGGGTCGAACCGCACAGAAACAGACACGAAAGCAAACGTTAGAGACCAGCATCGCCGAAAGCTACGAGGGAAGCATACGCACTATTCATCGTCCAACTCCCGTGGAAAGTTACATGTAGTGTCCTCGTCTCGTAGACAGATGGGACGTCCAAGGAGGATCGACATCGACTTGTCCGCTGTGTGTGGAGGTGGGGCAATAGTGCGAATGCATAAGAATCAGATGTATGTCGTGAGCATTGCATTGCGCACATCATCCGTGACATTGGGTTGCGCACCTCCAAAGAGCAGCCAAAAAGTCCTCCGGCGAACCTCGCATTCAACAAAATCGAGCCCTTCGTACGATGCCTCTTCATGCATGCGCAGCGTGATCGCAATGTGCGCCGCCTCTCCGAATGCTGCATGCTGCGTAGCATCATGGCCTTCGCAGAAATGATAGATGGTATCACTTAAGAGCCGAGGTCATGAGTTACGGATCGCATACACTCTTAATCACAAGACACCACTAAAAGGCACTCACAAGTATCGTATGACAACATGCATGACCGTCGGCGGGTCGTACGATACCACCGAAATATGTCGACTTGCCTCGTAGCACGTCTGAGCCAATTTCCGTACCTGATGCCGCTCCATCGGTAAGTAGCTCCGAGGTACTTGCACCAAGGTGCTCGCAACCGTGGACATGACAAGTGCAAAGAACAACGGATCGCGCTCTTCCCTCCTCGCATGCACGTCAGCCATAAAGCTCGGTCTGTGGATGCACGGTGTAAGCGGGTACACAAAGTCAAAGAATAACGCGAGGATATGGAGGATGGTGTCCCGTGGAGCAACATCTTCGAGACGGTGAGGGCGATAATAGTATGCAAGGGGAGGGATAGCGACGGGAGAAGAGACGGTCAGGGTTTGTTGTTGCCTCAACGCCCAACCGTGGAGGGGGTAGGTGCTAAACTGGTCGCCAGAGTTCGAGTTCGAAAATGGATGTGGATCGTCGCGTGTGGCACTATACGCCGCACCGAGTGAAGGGACGGAGCCGAAGGAGGCGAACGTGCTGTCGGCGGTGATAGGATAGCGGCCAGGAGAAAGCGGACCGGCATGAAGAGGCGATACAGGGCTCAGACTAGGCTCGAGGAAAGGCTGGAGGGATCCTTGTGTACCAGAAGAGAGTGTCGGACTAGCAGCGCCATGTGACGTGGGCGAATGCGCAAGGTCAGTGGAGGAAGAGCCCTGAGCGTGGACGTCTTGTTGCTGCTGAGCTGCTGCCGCCGCGGCCTCTTGTAGTCTCCGAAGATAGCTGCCGATCGTCAGTGATCTGAACCTGAGTGGGTTGCACACCTAGGATGGGCACTCACAGGTTTGGTGGCCCACGCTTTTTGGGCTGGTAGTCATACGTGCAGGGAATGCCGAGGGCGATGCAGTGCTTGCAGGACTGCTTGGGATCGTCGGGGTTCTCACGCGCACAGCGGACCTTGCGTGCGCGGCAAGCATCGCAGCCTGGAGGAATAGGTGAGGGAGGGGATTCGGACATCGATGACAGGCGCACGAGGACGCACTCTGTGACTGTCGCCTGTACGGAAGCAGGTCAGCGCACTGGCATCGATGAGAGAAAAGGGTAGGACATGAAAATACGCGCGGGGAATGGAACGCCAGGCAAGTGGGAGGCAAAGGAGAGAATGCGGAGTAGAGAGAAGGGGGGATACGGGGATGGAGGCAGAGAGCGTTGAAAGTGAGCGGGGAAATGTCGGGGATGGGACTTACTTTCTCTTAACCTTGCTGGGATCGGCCGGGTCGCTGGGGGCACGGTCTAGCGGGGGCGCGGACGCGTCCAGCTCTTGCTTTGGGCGTGCGGCCATGCGGGAAGGGCGCAGAACTGCGGGACTTCGCGGGGCGGCGACGCGGGCGTGTTATGTACGTGCACGCTGTTTGCGTCCTGTTGTTGTTTGCGCGAGGCGTCTGCCTGCCTAATCAGGCAACCATGTCCTCGCCGTCACGAGTCACTCCCCGGAGGCAGTCGCTCCGGCCTTAAACGGTCTTCCGGCGATGTGGCCTGCGCAGACCACTCGCCTCGGCCCTGCCGTAACGCCCTTCGCCACCTTCTCTGCGAAGGCATCGCGAAGCCAGCCATGATGCAACCCACCGTCGCAACCCAAAGCGTGAATCTACCGTCGATCTCACCACTCACATGTCCCTGCACCCCCCCCCCCCAAAAAAAAAACCTGTCATGCATTCCCCTCCCTGTCCGCGATGTGGTTTTAGAGGCAGGGCATCCTTGTATCGGCGTGTCCGCCTTCCATCACCTCCCGCTCGCGGAGGATAGTAATTCCTGAAGCGGTCAGGCTGGGGGTGCGTGGAAAGGTTGACAAATGTATGCCCCCCTACTGGCTAGTCGATAGAGGACTATCATCGTCGCGATCGTGCTAGCTGTGACCAGGTAGAAATTGGACGCACACGACCACGGGAGGATGAGGTCGGGAAAGAGAGGCGAGGACCTGTATGCGGTCGAGGGCGCGCTTTATATATGCACATGGCAAGGCGCATCAAATCGGATGACGCAAAGCAAGTGAAAAGGTTCTGTGACCATCGAGCGGGGCACCGCAAAAAGAAAAAAAGGTCTGCGCCAAATAAAGTGTAGGCGCCGTCAGCGGCAATATACATCCACAATATCTGAAATCAAATGCAGTGCGCAAGTACTAGCGCCTGCTACAGTTCCATAAAATGTGAATATTTGAATATTTGAATGGCAACGACGAGCTGCGACTGTCCGGATGCGTGCCCAATTGCTCGAAAGAACAAATGCCGATCAAAGCACAAAATGTTCATTCCCACCTGACATTAATATTCATTATAGCAACAGCTGTTGACGTTATTAGTGGCTGGTCATCAGAGCGGAGGATGTGGATAGCTTGATTACGGCGAGCTAATGGTATATGCTGCTAATAATACATTAGATTGTAATGCATGCATCTATCTATATATGTACGGACGACTTTTCATTCCGATCTACTGTGGTTACCGTGCGCCTCGCCAGTCCCTGAACCGATGCGGTATGCATCATGGATCATACACTCCCCCACACCGTGTTGCACTGATATCGCAAGATCTCAAGACCGGACTACCTCCGAATAGTCTGCGGCCTTTAGCTTTTCTTCCCCCCACCTGCAGCAGCCTTCCGCCTCCGCTCGGGAACACGCCTACCAGGCCCGCGTCCCATGATCGGCCTCTCGCGCATCTGCACCAGCATCATCCTCGCATGCACGTCCATCACCCGCCCCGCACGCCAATGCCGCCGCACCAACCTCGCGATAGCCTTCCTCAGCTTCGTCTGCATCTCATCCTCCCACTCTACCTTGTCACGCATCAGCATGTCCCAAAACCAGAACGCCGCCTCCGCGTCTTCCGTCCGCATCGCCGCGATCACGCAGTCGCGCCCCATGTTCGGCGACGGTATCTGTCCTGCCTTTAGCAGCAAGTCCACCAGATCCTGCACCGTCTTCAGCGCGTGCCTGGAATCATTGCGTCGGTCCTCGTCCGTCTCGATCAACCCCCGGATCAGCGTCCCCATCGTCTG